AAAGAATAAGGTGGCAAGGTTAATGGTGTCTGAGTCCGAGGAGGGAAAGAGATTTGGGAAGGCAGGTAGGGAGTTTAATTTTGAACGGGAGGAGCCCATGGTCAGTTAGAGGGAGGAAGAGTGACACCCTTGAAGAAAAGGCGGCAGCCAAGAATTCCCAGAAGCAGAGCAAAGAGGATGTCGGAGAAACTTGGGGAACAGTTTTTCCTTTCCAAATCCAGGTATTAGGAGCGGTAAATAGGAGTCTTAGCAGAAGGAGGATCCCAGCAACACAGAAACAGAGACACAGTGAGTATGACATGGCCAGAGCTCGGTGCCACAGGATGGAGTCTCAATCCAAGGGTGTTTCCAGGGGACCAAGACTTGTCATAGTATTGCCTTAGGATCACAGGGGACAGGTACTTGTGGTAGGGTGCCCAGAAGTGCATGTGGAGGTTGCCTGGGATACTGGCACAACTGTAATTGGGTGAGTGAGATAACCAAGATAAATGTAAGAAGGGGAAGAAAGACTAAAAATATGATTTTTAAAAATAAAAATAAAGTAAAATAAATTTAAGACTATAGTGAAATGGCTATTATAGTGAAAAGAAAAATGCCCAATGATGGGAAAGGTTGTGTGTGCACAAAGTGTGTTTTCTAAAAAAAAAAAAAAATAAAAAAAAAATTATAAGGATGAGAAGAATAAAGCACTTGAATAGCTTCCTCCTGGGTCCTCTAAAATTGGAATCTGCCCAGTAGTGATGGGGATGGGAAGCAGCAGGTGTGGAACCAGGATAGCAACAAATGTTCACCACAGCTGTTTTCACTTTGTCAGTCTCCCTTCTTTGTGGATTAGCGGCCTCTGCTGGCCACACTTAGTTTTGCAGCCCACGGGCTGGGCAGGTTCTCTCAGACTTTGGAGGTTCCCATCTCCCCCCTTCCCTCCAGGGTGGCTAAGATGCTTGACCAGGGGATGTCTTCCAAGAAGAGTGCTCTGCTACTTGGTGAATCAAACACAGCTGAGATCTGCATGGGAGAACCGTCTCTGTACCTTCAGGACCCACTCAGTGTTAAATCTACTAGTATAAAGCTATAGATGATCATGCAGCCTGCTGGAGTGTCAGAGTGCTTGTTCCCCAGGCTGAACACCTCACAGTATGTCTGACTTTAGAGGCTGAGCCACTCCAGACCATAGTTAACTCACTGTCTTAGTTACCACTCTATCGTTGTGTTCTATTATTATTCTATTATGACCAAGGCAACTCTTATAAAAAAAGCATTTAACTGGGAGCTTGCTTACAGATTTTTAGGGTTAGTCCATGATCATCATGGCAGGAAGCAAACAGGCTTGGTGCTTGTTAGGAATACAGCAGCTTGGGCTGAGACCTTGGTCCTGTGGCTCAGTAGGTGATGGGCGGCGGGCTGACGGGGAAACAGAGACCTGTAGACATGACTCATATTGAAAGAGACACAGAGACAGGGACAGACGGAGCTGCCTCCAGAGAGAGGACAGAAAAGAAAAGGGAAGAGAGAGAGAAGGAAGGAGGGAGAGTGGGACAGGAAAATTTCTGCGTGCTCCTTCAGAGGAATGGGGGAGGAGGGAGCGGGAGTGGGTGGAGTTTTTTCTTTTAAAGGGTCTTTTTCACCTGTGTGCAGATTATGTAGTGAAGTAGCAGCCATGGAACCCTGGGCTGACCAGAACCCTGCATTCTGTCAGGTGACAGGGGCCAAGCCAGCATAATGCCTGAATCCTTACAGTCCTGAGAGCTTATAGTCTGATCTGCAGGGAGCAGATAGAGAGAGCAAGACACTGGGACTGGCATGGGCTTTTGAAACCTCAAAGCCCACCACTAGTGACAAACCTTCTCCAATGAGGCCACACCTCCTCATCCTTTCTTCACCAACTGGGGATTAAACATGCAAATACATGAGCCTGTGGGGGGCTTTCTCATTCAAACCACCACATTTACTCTCCAGTTATAGTCAGGAGATGGCTCAGTTTAGTCATTTGAGGGTGTATTCACAGGACCCTTCATGCCAAAGACAAACCTCCTGCCACCTGAACTTTCCAGCCTGTCAGTGACTGACCCTCCCCCTCTCCAAGTGGCTTCAGGAGTTTTTGGTGGTGGTGGTGGTGGTGGTGGTGGTGGTGGTGGTGTGTGTGTGTATGCCAGAGAGGGTGTTGATCACAAGCTTCCTAACTTGTGACTGCTCCTTTTTATCAGGCCTGTAGGGAAGTTTGGTCTTAACCAATAAGCTACCTTTTAGAAACGATGGCCATCCACAACCCTCCAAGACTTGGAAAACAGTAAAACAGATCTGTTATTCACTGCCCATCCCTCCCTCAGGAGCAGTCAGTATTTCACCAACTCCCAACTGGTATTTGAAGCTTTCGAGGCCCAGGAGCTTGTGTCGTGGGCAGGTTCACCAGGTGCCTTTCCCCGTGGTCATCTGGTTTTCCTTTAGGATGAGGGTTCTGCTTCTACTCCACTCTCTCCTCTCACTGGCACCCTTTAGGTTTATCTCTGACAGGGTCTCCTTATGCAGACCAGGTTGGCCCTTGACTCTCAGTCTTCCTGTCTCAGTCTCTTAAGTACTAGGTGTACGGGAATATGCCAAGCCAGACTTGCAGTTTTTCCGCTTGATTGGGATTAGTTTGTTTGAGACAAGGTATCATATACCCAGTTGGTCTCAATAGTAGCTGAGACTGGCCTTGAACTCCTGACTCTCCTGATTCCACCTCCTAAGTGCTGGGATGACAGGTGGGCACCATCAAACCTGGTGCCAACTTCTAGTTTTTAAAATGAATCCACAACCCAGGAACATTTGTTTAACACTTTAATTAAAATTCACTGTACTATGAAAGCTGGTGTGTACATAAAGCATTCGTGTTTACTGAGACAACAGCTTAGACTATTTCTGGTGGCTGAGCATATTTTGATAATGAAACTTTAAACAGCTTCTTGGTTTTAATTCTATTTAAAATATTTGTGTAGTTTTTAGAAAGATGGCGTTTGATTCATTATATTCAAAAATGCAAGACACACTGAGGAGATTAAAAGAGGAGAGATTCAATAGTCACACATACATGTTCTGTTCTAACTCTGGTTTACCATGATCTCTGAGCTGTGTCATTTAATTTGGAGATTAATGCCTGTCTCCAACTCAGTTTACCTAATATCTGGGTTCTGTGAGAGTGTTACCCTGAATGAGATGGCTCGGTGAAATTAAGACACTGCAGATCTCATTTCAAAATTAATGCTCTTTCCAGGAATCCCAAGAACTTCTCGCTGTATATAATAAGCAGTGCATTTTCAAAGACTAGCATCTAGTAGGTGCATCCATAGAGAACAGATTCCTTATGAAACAGGACCTCACAGTGGCAGCATCAGGAAGAAGCAGGACCTCATAGAGGCGGGGTCAGGAAACATTCTGAGGTCTACTGAAGGGTGCCATGTTTACCTTATAGGAACATCTGAAGTATCTGCCACAGGTGGAAACATTCTCTATACCCAGGGCTTTAGATTCTAGGGCGCAGGTATGAGAATATACATGAGGACACTAGGGTTAAAAATATATGACTAGACTCCCAGCTCATCCCACTTTTGAAAAATAATGTGTACCAGTGAGATTAGATCTGTGTAGGATTCTTTCTTTTGGTATTGAGGATCAAACTCAGGGCTTCAAGTAGGCCAGGCAAGTGATCTATAGTAAGGCAAACCCCTTTCTGTACCAAACAATTTTATTATTGTGAGCTATAGAGAGAGGGGGGGAGAGAGAGAGGGAGAGAGAAAGAGAAAGAGGGGGGGGGAGAGCAGGAGGGAGGGAGGGAGGGAGGGAGAGAGAGTGTGTGTGTGCCACAGTGCACGGGTGGAGGTCAGAAGACAACTTTTTAGAGATGATTCTTTTCACCTTCACATAAATTTCAGAGATTCGGGTCATCAAGCTTGCATGGTGGTGTGTCAAGGGCCTGTTATCCACTGAGTCCTCTCAATGCCCTGAGACGTTATTCTTAACAGTGTGAAATTGGAAACAACCCAAATGCTCGCTGATGAAGTAGCTAAAATGTCACCACACATCTGAACAAGGGACTAAGCTGACATCACCAATGAACCAGTGCATTTTCCTCCTTCCCCTTTTTGAGATAGGGTATTGTCATGTAGCCCCAGCTGACTTCAAACTTGTGATTCTCCTGCCTCAGCCTCTAGTGTTCCACCATGCCCGCTACAAGCATACTCTCTAAGTACTGACAAAAACTACTCTCTAAGTAGTTTTTGGTTTTTTCCCACACTTGCTATTTGATGCTTGAGAGTGGTTGGGGTGGGGGTGGGGGTGCCAGAAGTAGCATGGAGAACTTTTAATGTCATTGCCTACTAAAGTAAGCAAACTTTAAAGGGGTAATATAACAGTGCCAATCATCATTAACTGCAGTGTACGGAGTGCCCACTCACTGACTCTGTCACCAAAGAGAGTACTGTGTTTACTGCTCTGGAATCTAGAGATGTTTCCAGGAATTTGGGAACTCCCAAGCTGTTTTGCTATTAGTTGGTTTTGAGGCATAGTCTCACTATACAGCACTGGCTGACCTTGAACCAAGGTTCCTCCTGCCTCAGCTTCCCCAGTACTGGATTTACAGGTGTGCACTTCCACTCCGACTCTTCCCTATCACTTAAGCCAAGGGTGGGTGCTGGTGGGGACCTGCCATATCACCAACCCTCGAATTTTCTAGTAGAGCTCTCAGTGATGTCGGAGCCCTCTTCTATACCCTTCTAAAAACTTTTAAAAGTGCAAGGTGGTTTTCTTCTTGAAAATTGCAACTGCGGGAGGGGGCAGGGTGCTCCAAGGAGGGCTGGAGCTCAAGAACACCACCACCATTTGATGAAATTTGAGGGTTTCCACAACAAGCCTGTGAGGAGGTGTTCTTGGGCTAGGAAGCTTATCCAGGTAGGCGGATCCACCACTCACGCCGACCCGGGGATGGGGAATCATGGATTATGGGAATCATGGGGCCTGCGTGCGCCTCAGTCCACTTCCTCCTCCTTCTCCTTCAACATCTCCACAGACAGTGTCTGCTCCTCTGGATCCGGGCCTGGGCTCACACGGATCCTCACCGAGGGCTCCGAGGGCCCAGCCACAGCCTCCTCAGTACCTTCCTCGGACTTCCCCGGGGCCGGCGGTGGAGAGCTCCGGGCAGGGGGTTCCGGGGGCTCCTGGGACTCTGAAGGTTCCTGGGGCTTCTTGGGTTCCGGTGGTTCTTGGGGCTCAGGTTGGTCCGGGGCTCCAGAGCCCTCTCCCCCAGCTTCCTGCGAGCTCTTGGCCTGAAACCCAGAGAGTGTGACAGGTGAGGTGAAGTAGTCTCCTTCAAAGGGATCTTACAGGCCAATTTGCCCCCACCTTCTGGGACTTCCAGAGGGCAGTGGCACAAAGGAGATTGAAAGCTAGTGGCCTAACAGAGCAGTATCAGGGTAATGTAGAAGAAACAATATAGTACTGGCAGGTTGAAATTTGAGGATGAGAGGCCAGCATGTTTTGGGTGTAAGTCTTGGGGATTTAATTTTGAGACAGTGTCTCCATATGTAGCCTAGGCTGACCCTAAATTTGGTGTGGAGCACAAGTTGGCCTCGAACTCAGGGTCCTTCTTCCTGAGCCTATCGATTGGATGCTGAGACTGCAGGTGTGGGCTACCATGCCCAGGTCTTTAGGGACATTTTAGATTAGTAATGGGCTGGAAGCCTGCCTTAAGTTTTGCATTCAAGTACAGATCCATTCCCCCAGCTTATCTGGGGAGCTGATAAGCATGACGACTGGCCTCTTCCAAAGCTGAGCCATCCAGACACCCACTCCTCCTCCTCTTCTGGTTTTTCAAGACAGGGTTTGTGTGGCCCTGCTACCCTGCCCTGGATCTCACTCTGTAGACCAGGCTGGCCTTCAACTCAGAGATCTCCCTGCTTCTGCCTCCTGAGTGCTGGGATTAAAGGCGTGTGCCACCAACGCCCGGCTATACACCCACACTTCTTATTAGTAATGGATGGTTCTGGGGTGAGTGAGAAAAACTTGGAGCACATAGGTAAAACTGAGTGAGCAAGAGTACCTATGGCCTGGCCATCTTTCTAGAAGGTTCCAAAGATTGCAGCCCTTATGGGAAGAATAGAATGGGATGACAGCAAAATTAGGATGAAGTGGCCCTGTGTTCACAAGCTTGGTGGGCAACTGCAGCCCCTAACTTGTGCTTCCTCCATGTGGTATTGTTGGCCATCAATAAGTAATTGGGGGGAGCCTTTTTTCTTAAAGAAAAGTCCCTGGGTTCTCAGGCTCAGGCTGCCTTAAAATTAGTAGCCGAGGCTGGCCTAGAATTCGTAGCAGTTCTGTATCAGCTTCTCAACCACGTGAGCTACACCTACGAGCGAGGTTTCTCAATTTGGCTTGACCCAGCTTGTCTCACTTGAACCAAACAAGGCCTACTGCTGTAAAGGAGACACAGAGTCCCAACACTGGGTGTGTGATGAGCTCTTGGAGGTCCCCGACCTTCTTCCGGAAACAAACCTGCCAAGGGCAAAGAGCCAGGTCCCAACCATGTTACCTGTTCCAGCAGCTGCTGCTGTCGTGCTGCTGCCTCCAGGGCAGCCAGTTCCTTGAGCCTGGCTCTCAGGTGGGCGAGCTTGCCACCCTTGCCTCCCCTGGCACCCATCTTTCCTGCTGCAGCAAGGGCGGCGTTGAAGAGCTTCGGGGTGCCTGCACGTGGGGGCAGGATGAGCACACTCTTCTCCTCTTTGGGTTTGTTGTTGTTTCTCAGCATGCGCCTGAAAGAGAGCCACACCCCCATCTGTGCTTGCACCTGCACAGAACCCTCTGAGTTGTCCCTATGTGGGGGTGGTGGGTGGCGGTGGGGTAGTAATGTTGGTGCTGCCTTTGGCTGATGATTTCAGGGTGCTTGTGCTCAGTCAAGCACAGTGCTGAGTGCTTCTGCATAGATGAATGATTAGAACTGCTATATGAGACGGGGCTTATTCTCTGTGCCATAAAGATAAGAACACTGAGGCCCAGAGAGGTTGACTAACTTGCTTGAGGTCACCCTGGACAGACTCAAGGACACAGCTATAGTTCAGATGTGGTTTGAGGGTATCTCCAAGGGTTCATAGGCTCGTGGTGATATTGTGGGAGGGAGGCAGCACGGAACCTTAGAGGCAGGGCCTGTTGAGAAGTCTTTAATTATCTAGTTCCTGGGATCCTGACTAGTTCTCACGAAAGGGGTTATTATAAAAAAAGTCATGCTGGCCCCATCTCTGCTTTATCTGGAAAAGGCTCGGAATAGGGGCAGGGAGTGACATGCTCCAGGCCTCCAAGGAGTGATGACAGCAGAACCCGACTCAAGATCAGGTGTGACCTAGCACCCTGTTTCTTTGAATAAGGATAGAATTTTCCATCAAACAGAGCCTGCGCCTTTTACTATGAATTTTTCAAGCTATGAATATGTGATAAACAGCTTGACTCAAGAACAAATGCATTTTGCATGCAATCTAGTGGGTGAGACTGCTAATTGGCAAATTCATAAATTAGGGTTCCAGCGCAATTAGTTTGTTTTTTGTTTTTTTGTTTTTGCTTTTGGTTTTAATGAGGCCGCTGCCGGCTGCTTAGCTAATCAGAGCCAATGGGCTTGAATTGTGTGCCGTGATATTAATCAGCTGAGATTTGCATTTCTCCCTGGGTTTCCCCAGGAGACACAAGCATGGTCATCCATCAGAGGCCTTGGAAGCAGGCTCGCTAGTAGCCTGGGCACTGTCACCTGAGCCATGTGAGTCCATAATTCATGCATGACAGGCAGCAGAAAGGCTCAGTTTGGTGCTGAAGTAACAAAGAGCAGTGGAGGGGACAGCTGCTGGCAGCTGCTCTGCTTTGAGTCAGTGCAGACAGACAGATGTGTCCACAGACAGTTGTGTCCACATGAATGGGATTCTCTGTGTTCTAGGCTCAGAAAGGGCATGAGGCAGAAGAAGAGGGACTAGAGACAAACACACATTTAAAAAAAAAAAAAAAAAAAACAGATGTCATTGAGACTGGGGTTCCTGTCTATGCCTCTGTCTGTCTTCTGTCTCTATCAATCTATGGCTCTATCTATCTATCTATCTATCTATCTATCTATCTATCTATCTATCTATCCATCCATCCATCCCACCACAAGGTCCTTCCTCACTGCAGGTCCAAAGCACTCTTGTCAGGCAAACATGGACTGAAACCAAGAGCCAAAACAAGCTTTTCCTCCTTTTGAGTTGCTCTTCTCAGGGACAGAGTGGCACAATGTTTGACACTAGCTAGAGTGCACACTTAGGCAACCAAGTCTACGACCACCCTATGCCAGTCTGCTGTTAGAATCTGGGCCACACTGCTACTCTGACCACGCCCACCTGTAGCAGTCCCTGTCTGATGAAAAGGAAACAGCAAACCCTTTACCAAGAGGTTGCTTGTGAATCTCTAACCCCCCTAACCCACTCTCTGGGTGCCTGTGGGCTTCTATAGCATAGAGTGCTTCCTTAGTCACTCAACTTGAAACCTCATCTAAAGGACTAGAAAGCAAACGTCTGCTTTTCTAAAAGCAAAATAACCCATTTCCCAATATGAAACACAAGCACATACACCTGCATTGCTAGTCACAGTTGCAAAACGTTGGCGCTGCCCCATGTGCTCACTCTGGGGGAAAGATGACGCTACAATATGCTACCCTTCACATAAAGAGAAATAAGAAAACAGCCATGGGCCTGCCTGTTTTTAAAAAAATAAAAACACAGAGGAAAAAGTGAGAACCTATGAGGTTAGCCAGACCAGACAGCACGAGCCCGTGAGCCCTGCTACAGGCAGGCAGATGAAGAAGGCAGCACTCACTTGGACTACAAAACAACAGGAATAACAGTCTGGCCAATCCAGCAAGATTCTGCCCCAATAGCAAATCAAATATAATATCTGGAGTTTAAGCTCAGTGGTAGAGCACCTGTCCAGTATGTACAAGGCCCTGGGTATGAAAGAAAGAAAGAAAGAAAGAAAGAAAGAAAGAAAGAAAGAAAGAAAGAAAGGAAGGAAGGAAGGAAGGAAGGAAGGAAGGAAGGAAGGAAGAAAGAAAGAAAGAAAGAAAGAAAGAAAGAAAGAAAGAAAGAAAGAAAGAATATCCCCAAACAAACCTAACATATTTAACCATTTATTTCCTGAGCATACAGCTTTGTACTTTAGGAGTCCTGTCAGTATTTTATGTTCTCAAAACAATAGTTCTGCCAGTCACAGCAGCACATGCCTGTGATCGTGGCACTCAGGAAGCTGAGGCAGGAAGTTCAAAAGTTCAAGGCTAGCTAGGCATGGTGGCACATGCCTATAATTCCAGCACTGGAGAGATGGTGAGTCTCTCTGCATTCCAAGGCCTTTGTTGCTGAGCCACTCTCCAGCCCTTGACCCAAATAACTTCAAACACAATACTTTTACCATAAATACTTGAGCCAAAAGCAAAAATAACTTTGTCGGACACTGAACTCTATGTGGAAGGCTTGTTTTTGCACAGTGGATGGGTTAAGCATGATGAAACATTATATCATGGGACTGAACAAACGAATAGATAAAACACAGATAAAGGCAGTCAAAAGTCTTAGTGTCAGGAAGGGGGTTAGAAGCATAGAGAGACTAGAATGAACTGAAGGGATGATCTGAATTGTGTTATAGATCTCCCAATTCATCACTATCTATAGAAAAATCTATGTAGACATGTATGTGCATACATATGTGAAAATATTTATACTGATGTACACAGGCATGGGGGTCCCTTGGCTCCATTCACCAGGAAGCCTAGTAGTAACCCATAGCAATGAGTACCCTTCAGGTTCAGATCTTCTTTCTATTTTATTTTTACTTCATTACTTTGAGAAAGGGTTTCACAACATAGCTGTTGCTGGCATGGAACTTGAAGCACAGACCTGATTGGTCTTGAACTTGCAGCAATCCTCCTGCCTCTGCCTCTGACATTAATGGCACGAGACACACACTAGATCTTGGTTTCTAAAAACCGTTGGTAAGCTGCAGCTAGATATCTCAGTGGCAAAGCACACATGTTTAGCATGGATAAAGCCCTGGGCTCCTTCCCCAAGCCTCGTGGCCCCCAAAATTCCTTCAAACATTTTCCACTAGAAGGAATTTAGTTCCTTGAAGAAATTGCCATTTCAGGGAGGGGGCAGTTGGTGTTGGAGCCCAAGGTTGGCCAGGCTGTCTTGCTGCACCTGTTTGTCCCCCATACACACAAGGGAATGTTGAATTATAATGGGACATCAAAGGGTGACAAAAATCAGCTTGATGAGTTCTCACTGGCCACACAAGAGCAACTGAAGCCTCAGAATAACTGTAATAGGTGTTTATAAAACAAAGCAATGCCTGCTGATGTAATAAACACCAGGAGGGGAGGCTCTTCCATAGCAGAGTGTGAGCCAAGGAGTGGGAGGCAGGAGGAAGCTGGACAGTGATGGCTCAGAGAGACCACTGAGGAGAGAAGAACAAAGAGCCATGGGCAGATCAGTGTCCACCAAGTGGCAATCTGGGGGAAGAAGGACATCTATGTAGTTCCAAAGAGGTCCCCACCAATCGCTTGTCAAGTACAAAGAAATAGTAACATTGTAGTCCAGAAGCCAGGTCCATGTGATTAAGGTGAACTCATCGCCTGGGAAGAACCAGACTTTTGCCCCCATATGCTGCCTTGGGGGGCATATTCACCCTGATGATTTCTGCACCAGATGCAGAGCCAAAAAAAAAACATCACCAGAAAGCACCAGACACACCTAATCGAAGGAGCATTCTAAAGCCTAGCCTGTCCATTGGCTGCAAAGAGGTCAAAGCCATTAGAGATAGACACCATAAGGAACTGTCCCAGGTCAGAGGAGACAGGAGATTCAGCACATTAATGCAGAACAGGGCCTTTGACTTGTTGCAGGAAGGAGAAGAGAGCTTCCAGACAATCTCAGCATGGATTAGAGATGAGAGTACAGTATGGTTTCTGCAGCAAATTCTCTGATGTTCACAGTGGTATTGCATAATATGAGAGAACCTGCTCCTCCCAAGCATCAAAACCTGACAAGAAAAAAAGAAAGGGGTTCTGTACCTGGCCTTCTTCCGGAGTAGCTTCTGAGATTCAGGATAATGTACCAAAATTTCATTCAAGTCCTTCTTGTCCAGAATGAAGAGGTTGGTGAACCCATGGGCCACCACATTGGCCGTGCGCCGGTTCCCGCCCCCCACAGCCAGCAAGCTGGAGTAGAAGGGAAAAGAAATGAGAGCATTTGGAGGCTGTGGCTTCGAGAGATTGTCTTAGGTTTTTGTTTATGTTGTTTTGCTTTGAGACAGGATCTCACTATGTAGCCCTGGCTGTCCTGGGATTCCCTATGTAGACCAGCTAGCCTTGAACTCTCAGAGATCCTCCTGCCTCTGCCTCCTCAGTGCTGGGATTAAAGGTGTGTGCCACCACATTTGGCATTGTTTAGGTTTTTGAAATAGAATTCTCTTTTTTTCCTTCAGGCTGATTCACTATCAGCCTCCCCAGTAACTGGGACTGTAAGTGCATGCCACCCAGTGGCTTGGGTTTTGTTCACATCTCTCAACTCTGCATTTCCCCACCCACTCCATGATACACCTCAGCGGCACCCATTCTACACATGCAGGTACTCACTGTACCAGTTTGGTATTCACTGTAGTTTCCCCTGACCCTAGCCCCCAGCCCTTGCCCAGGGTGCATTTGACCCCTTCCCCCACCACCACTGACCTTATCTCTCCAAACACTGATCCGGCTTTGAGTGTCACCAGAACGGCCTTCCCATCTGGACCACCCAGGACCTGCACCTGCCCCGCCTGGATGATATACATCTCTCGGCCAATCTCCCCCTGGAACAGAAGAGGGTTGAGCCCCACACCTCATAGCCACTGAGGCTGTCCCAGCCCTGCACCACCAGATCATGTGGTGGGGAGGGGGGCAGGTCACTTTGCTCTTGGCCTGCCCTTTCTTTTGAATGTTGGGTATGACGCTATTCTATTCTGCAGCTCCGCTGGTATTACCCTGTGGTCCACACCCCAGTGAAAAACTATGCCCGGTGCCTCAGGAGTTCAGCCAGTGCCCCAGGAGCTCAGCCAGTTGACATAGGAATGATAATAATGGTCAGGAGACCCAGAGGCCCTGGTACATCTTCCAAACTGATGCCAGTGGGCATGCTTCACACCAGTGAGCCTACTATGATAAGATTATGCTCTACCAAGATCATAATGCAAGGTCGAACCAGGCCTGGTGTCGGAGCCCAAATATTGGTATTTCGGATACAGGCCTCAGCTCAATTCCAGGAGCTCGAATCTCCCATCATCTTTTAGATATCTGCTGGTTACCACTGGATGGCTTGGCCACAGTGGAGAATTGCTTTTAGTTTGTGTAACAATAAACCTAGGCCCCTGGGTGGACCCACACCCATCATGGGGGCTGGTAGGAAGTACCTGGGGACTAGTGAGGGACTAGTGAAATGTGCCCTTGTGGAATGTCTGAGGGCTTGTGTAAGTGTGTTCTGGACTATCTTGGGGATTAAAGGAAATATCTTTTATCAGCTCTATACATGATAATAGATGTCTTATACCAGTACCCCCACTTTTGGAAAGATATTTAAGAGCATGCTTAAATAAACTGTGGTCTCCAGTATGGACTGAGAGCCCTCCTGAGATGACAAGATGTCTCTGTCTCATCCTTAACTCTGCTGGGTAGCTAGGACTTTCCTGATCCATACTCCCCCATTCAGGGTCAGACCCGGGGCCGTTCAGTTGGTTCCGATCACAGCCCCCAAAGACATCAGTCCAGAATACATGACCTCTGTAGCGTGGGACTGATACAGGCCAACCCGGGAAGGCTGGCATCTGAATCCAGACAACCTGACTCCAGGTTGCATAGCCAATGTGGTTAATCTCTGTCCCCAAACCTGAGCCCTGGCTGCTGAAATCCCAGGACCTCCCAATAGGCCCTTATTTGGCAATAAGGTTGATGCATGTGTAATTCAATTACGATGGCCTACTTGAGCAGGTTTGGCCCTCATCCAATCCAACTGGCATTCTTACAGAAAATGCAGATAGGTGAAGATAGCCAAAGAGAAGATGAACATCTTGCTACCTGAGGAAATGAGCCATTCAGTTTGATCTACTGGCCCTAGTACACAATAAATAGCCTGAATCCCAAGTTAAACCAGGGAATGAATGAATGAGGAAGGAACAACTAAGTGAACGGATGAATGGATGGCTTGTTCTGACTTCAATCAAAAACAGTAACTTGCCACACATCTTCCAATTCATGCCCTTCCAGATTCTACCTTGGTGGCCACCTGTCAATCACACCTGTTATGATTAAAAGGGGTGGCGGAAACCCCTTTACACTTTAAATTACTCCACAAATGTTCCTACACATCACTCGCAGTCATGATCTGCTGTTCCCTTCTCTTTTCAGTCTTACAAGGTATCAAAGTGTGGTGGTTCAAGTCCCAGTGTCACAGAGGATACAGCAGAGGGCGCTGCTCACACATGCTCCCCAACACCTGAGTCACCTCTCACCTGCCGCAAACTCTAAAATCACACGGAAAACAGTGTCAGCAATTGTGCCTATTTGGTTCCAAGCAGGCAAATCCTATTCAGTCTTCCCAGCCACCTCATGAAAGAGGTACTTGGATTATCTATACTTCATCCATGAGAACAGGACTCAGAGAGGTCAAGCCACCTACCCAACACAGCAAGGCTAGGAAGTGGCTCCCATACCGTACAAAGCACTCTATGGGTCCCAAACTTCCCCTGCCCCTAAGGCAACAGCTTTAAATGCTCATCCTTCTGAATCTCATTCTCTTCCCTTGGCTCAGCCATTTACTTCCAGAAGCTGCTGTCCTGCATACTGCCCAGCAGATGTGTCCAACCTGCAGCTCGCTGAGTCACTTTTGGCCAGGGATAGCTGTGCTCCAACACAAAACTGTAAACTGAACTCAGGGATGGCTCAGCAGGAAAGGCATTTGCTGTCAATCTTGATGGGCAGTTTGATCTCCAGAACCCACATGGTGGAAAGAGAGAACCAAATCCCTCAAGTGGTCCTCTGACTTCTACATGTTTGTTGTGGAATACCCACACCCCCAGCAAATAAGTAATTTTAAAGGAGGGGGGTCAGAGAGCTTAGGATTTAGGAACACTTACTCCTCTTTCAGGGGACCATATAAATAAGTAAAAATAAAATCCTTAAAGGACTTTTTTTTTAAAAAAAGCTAGACATGGCAACACACGGTTTTAATCCCACCACTCAGGAGACAGAGGCAGGAGGATTTCTTGAAGTTCAAGACCAGCCTGGTCTACATAGTGAGATCAAGACTGCCAGGGTTATAGAGAAAGACCCTGTCTCAAAAATAATAAATAATAATTTTTAAATGACAGGGGCTGGAGGCTCCCAAGTCTTATGCTATTTTCTTTTCTCTTTCTTTCTTTCTTTCTTTCTTTCTTTCTTTCTTTCTTTCTTTTTTTCCGAGACAGGGTCTCTCTGTGTAGCTTTGGAGGCTGACTTGGCACTCGTTCTGGAGACCAGGCTGGCCTCGAACTCACAGAGATCTGCCTGCCTCTGCCTCCCGAGTGCTGGGATTAAAGGTGTGCACCACCAATGCCCGACGTCTTATGCTATTTTCACCCCACACACTCACCCAGACATATTAATATCTCTGTACATAAGACCTGAAACTTGCCCACCCCATCCCGGTGACCTTGCTGCTATCCTGGACCCCTTGACAAAGAGCACAAAGGGCTTTACAATGTCAATGACCAGATTCTAGCATATGTGTTTCCTAGGTGACTCAAAGCAATGAAGACAACCTGGTGTGGGGTGGAACAGAGTGGTGGGACCCGTGGCATCAGATAGGGCATCACTTGTCCCCTTTAGGAACAACCCCTGCTCTCATTCTGACTCTTGCCGTTGTGGGAAGTGGGGTCCAGAGCTAGTCAAAGTTCTGTTTCATCCAGACATTTGAATTTTGATGTGAAATCTTCCAACTTTTAAAGGTTAGGGATTAATTCTACTTAAATAAATTCATAAAACACCTCAGGGCTGTAAACTGCCCACTTTCCTGATGGGAAGACTGAGACTGTGGTGGCAGTTTTGTGGGCTGGAGCCCCTCTACCCCTTTCCTGCAAGGAGGGCTCCTCTGTGTGAAGGGAGCGTTGGAAGCCCTTGGCAGAGCCCAGGGCACCCTCTGCAGCAGGTGTTCTCCAGTCAGGCTGCCCATGCACTCTACCTCCTCTGTGGTGAGGCTGCTGTTCTGGCCGGGCAGACCACTAAGGCCCGGCCGGGCCCCCCCCCCCCCCCCGTATACAGCTCACCTTCTTGCACACATAGTCATTGGGCAGGTAGACAACTGAGCGAAGACGCTTGAGCATGTCAAAGATCATCTGCCGGTCACAGCCCTGACCAGACCGAGAGGGAGGAGTCAGTTAGAAAGCAGGGGTTTTGTCCCAGATCCCCCCGTGGGAGGGCACCCGTGAGGGTACCTGGAAGAGCGCCACTTTGCTGACAATGTCGTAGTTTACATCGATGGCCAGGTCCAGTCTCATCTTGTCTGGAAGCTGCACCATCAGCTCTGACTCATCTGGGAAGGAGACCCAACAGGGGTCAGAGTTCAAGCCAGGCCTGCCCCTCACACCACATGCATCCATGCAACCACGTGAGGCCCTGCTCAGCCAACTCAGCTTCCCTGGCTACAGGGAGCCTCTCCAGAGTGTAGAGAACACCCTAACCACGCCTCCTCTCGGGGCTTGCTACAGGTGTACCTGGACACGCCCCCTAGGGCTTGGACAGGGTGATGTGAGGGAGGTTTAAGAGTGAGGGGTACCCCGGGCGTTGGTGGCACACGCCTTTAATCCCAGTACTCGGGAGGCAGAGGCAGGTGGATCTCTCTGAGCTCGAGGCCAGCCTGGTCTCCAGAGAGCGCCAGAATTGGCTCCAAAGCTACAAAGAGAAACCCTGTCTCGAAAAAAACATAAACACAAACAAACAAAAGAGTGGGAGCACGCACATGGGAGCCCCTTCTTTCCTTTCATCATTGGCTTGTTCTACTTACCTGGTTCCCTGCCGGCTGGCTAGGTTGCTCTGTAAGGCATCTCCCTAGTAAATTCCCTGCTAGTAAATACCCTGATATCTTTACTTGACTCCGTATTGGTAATTCACTCTTTACCAGAGTCTCAGAGTTCCCCTGTCAGGAACACCATCTCCTCCCTTCCAAACTCCTACTCATCCTTCAAAACTAAGGACACTAAGGACTAATGCCACTTCCTCCAGGATGCCTGACTTTGATGCCCCTACCCAGCTTTTGTATCAGTGGTCCCTATTCTGTAGCAATTGCCACCACCACTTTGATTTTTTCACATCGTGTGTGTGTGTGTGTGTGTGTGTGTGTGTGTGTGTGTGTGTGTGCGCGCGTGCGCGCGCGCGCGCGCGCGCGCGCCATAATACACACGTAGAGGTGAGAGGACAACTTGTCAAAGTCAGTTCTCTCCATTTGAGTCCTAGGGACAGAGCTGGAGCCATCACACTTGGCAGCAAGCCCCTCCACCAGCTGAGTCATCTCATTGGTCCACCTACCATTTTATTCATTTGGAGACAAGGTCTAGCTATGTAGTCTACCTGAGACTCAAACTTAAAGCAGCCCTCCTAAGTGCTGGGATCCCATGCCTGAGCTGCCATGCCTGGCTGCATCCTTGGTTGCAATTGCTTCCGCCTTGGATGGAGCTACACCTTAAGGTAGATGAAGCAAGAGGAGAGTGACTGTCCAGAGGACAAGCTCTTTAGGTGTTCCAGGGTCTTCAGGTCGAGAGGTCCCTCTAATATCAACAATAGGGGTGCAACCAAGAGAGACCCCTCAGACCACAGAGGACCAGGGAAGAGTTGGTCAATCTGGGGATCAGGTGAAAGTTGGTTGGGGGAGGTGGGGGGTATGGGGGGTTGGCCAGTCTTACCCAGCATGCCTTGTGAATGCCAGGTATACTCATACCAGGTCTTGACACGGTTCTGCACAGACCTGGGGATCTTGTAGAAGTTCATGTACTTCACTGTACTGTCCATGCAGCTGCGGTAGTAGGTCTGTCCTGCTGTGGCAGCCCCCACCACATCTCTCATCTAGAGCAGGACAGCAGTAAGGAGAGGTCAAGGAAGTGTTGGGCCCAGGCTGGGTAGGACACAGGTTTGGTTATGTAGCAGTACACAGATCAGGGACCTGTGCTGGTGGGTAAGTAGGGGAGAAAAACATAGATGGCCACACATAAAGCGTGGACACTGGAAGCAAGAAGCAAGGCTGCAGACCTCTCTGGCCATCTCAGGTCCCTCGGGGTGTGTTAGGGAGTCCCATTGGAATAGGCTAATTCTAGTGTACAGACACTCTCCCCAGGGAGGAACACTGAGCCTTCCGAGTTTTCTTTGAGGACTCAATTTGTTTCCTCGTGTCCTGACTAGAACACACATTACTCATCACATCAAAGACGCCAAAGGGTTTTCTTACAGGGCACAGCCCAAGTCCCCAGCCTTTAAAAAAGCCATGTAACCACCAGGCTTACCATGCTCCCAAAGGACTAACATTCAAACAGGAAGATCTCAGGCAGTCCTGGGACACAGACATCCTCCTGTTCCAAATGCCATGGGCTCCTGGTTCAGCCTGTATATCCCCTGCACTCTATCCCAAAGCTACAACACACAGGGAAGTTTCTATTTGGGCAGGGGAGTCACAGGCAGGTGGGTGTGTGACTCAGTTACCTGTCCAATCATCACAGAGAAAGCGAAGACACCTGTAAAATAATTCAGCAGCTGGAAGACAATTTCAAAGAGTGTCTGGGGGTCGGGCAGCCCTCCAATGGTGATGAGAGTTTTCACAGCCCAGTAGTAGCATCGGATGTAACTAGTAAGAGTTGAGAAGAGGAACCTTGGTCAGTAGAGGAACTGCTGACCTTGTGGTCTTGGTTCAGACACCCAGAGGGACCCCACATAGCCACAGATGCAAGAAATGGCTCCACTTCCACTAGCACTCTCAAATGCTACCAGGTGTGGCTGAGGCTTTGTCCCAGCAATGTGAAAACATGTCGTCACCTTGAGACATGGATATGGAACTGAGGTTCCAGCAGACACCTGGCCGCAGTGCCAGGCTGACACCTCCTTGAAGTTAGCAAAGGGAAGGCCAGCAGGGCCAAGGAGGTTTCCAGAAGACAGCAAGGAAGAGCTGGCAGGAAGACAGACTGGACCTGGTGACGGGGCTCCCTCAGTTTCCAGTATTTTTCTTTGCTCTCACAGAAAGTAAGAAAGAAAACAAAACCAGGAGATACTGGGGGCCCTCACATCTGAAGGGCTTGCTCCTGTAGACCCAACCAGCTACAAATGGGAAACACTTGGTGGAAAAATGTATCTAACTGGGTTCAGTCCCCACTAGGGAGTGTGTGTACACACACACACACACACACACACACACACACACACACACAGACCCCAACTGTAAAATTGTAAAAAAAATTTTAAAATTATGACACGTCATAATTGTAATTTTGCTAGTTATTAATCATAATGTAAATAATATGCAGGATATCTCATATGTGAACCCTGTGAAAGGTCGTTCAACCCCTAAAGGGGTCAGGACCGATAGGTTGAGAACCACTGCCCTATAGCCACTTTCTAACGTGGACCAACTTTCACTCCCTGCAGCTGGCCTCCTCCATAAAATGGACGCAATAGAGGAGCATTTGTTCCCAGGCAACTGTGAGGATGAAGAGAGCTGTTAAAAGAATGACCAGGCCCTGTCAAGACCTGCGCAGTGTTGTGCCTGCCAGCACCTGTTGTGGGGAACAAAGCAGAGTGGCCATGTCTTCCAGATGCTTCCTACTTAGTGGGAACAAGCACCAAAGCACCAATGCACACCTATGCTGAGAGGGAGCCCAGGCGGCTGGAGTTGTGGCAGGGTGAGTGTTTGTTTGTGCGTGTGTGCGCAAGCGTGTGCCTCAGACTACCTGGGAGATCGTAGGCAGGGCTCCTAGTCGCCAGTTGCCTGGACGTTTGATGACATCAGACCTATCTGCCCTGACAACAAATGCCATACCAGTACTGGTCACAAGAGGGCGCATGAAGCAACTTAGGCAGAACTGAGTGCCATCCCCTCATACCCCCCCACACACCCCTATTGCTTCCCTATCAACCATCGAGCCAACCCAACTGTTGGGGAAGCTAAGTGTTCACGCAACTAGGTAGTGAACCACAGAGGGTCTAAGAGTGGTGTCCTTAAAGCCCCTGCTTTTCCCTAAATGTTTCTAATTGGAGTATCTCCCACAGACATGGCACATATTGGGACGTCCTGCAGTGGGTCCCAGGTGGGCACTGCAGGCTGGGACAGAGCACAGTAGACTGACATAGGTGGGAACTGGTTTTCCAAGGTTCCTACTCCGGCACACAGAATCCCAGGAAGTGGTTATAGTTAGTGTTTGTGCTATAGAACTTGAAGAATTTTCCATTACTGCGTTTTGTATCCAGGGTCCCTGGAGGACTCCCCTGGGAAAGAAAGTGTCAGCAAGCAGGCCTAGCCCCCCAACCCCAAACCCAGCCCAGGTCCTTGGGAAGATGGTTCCAGAAATCTACTGATCTCTCCTTCCTGCTCTTTCCTTCCAGGTCTGCCAGTCTGGCCTGCTGCTGAGAAGGGGGTTCTTAGATTCCAGGGCCCAGACTCCTTTGAGAATTGAAGGAAAGCCAGAAAACTACTCAGAACAGCTGATATATTCTCAGAAATTAGCTTCTGTTTCCAGGCTGGGGCTGTTAGAACCCTTCACTGGCATGCCGACTTTCACAGCCGGGGCAGGCACTGACCCGGCATCCGGGCGCCAGCCAGACACTCAACACTCATTGTTTTTGTTTTGTTGTTATTTCTTGTCACAAGACTCCTAGGTAGCATCCAAGCACTCAGGAAGCTAGCAGGGATAGAAAATTCAACACCAACTTGGGCTACAGAGTGAATTGAAGGCCAGCCTGGGCAATATAGAGAGACGGTCTTAAAAACATTTAGTTTATTTTCCATAGAGAAGGCCTTGGGCTCTATCCCTAGAACTTAAAATATATGTATCTCATAAGGAAGACATGAAGCTGGAGGCCAGAGATTCACATACAATCATGTGCTGTGGGTGCCAGACGCACACAGGATTTGAAAGGTATAGAGGAAGCAGGCCAACCACCTGTCACTCATGCTTAACATAGCAATTGCATGTAGTAGGGATAATTTTGTCATTGGGACTAATCAAATATATTACTAAAATTAATTTCACCTCCTTTTATGTTTACAATGTGGCTATTGAAACATTTCAAGTTGTATATATGAGTCACATTGCATTGCAATATTGCATAAATGGATAGCCTTGCTTTAGGCAGTAGGGAACCAGCTATGGTTTGTTGTTTGCTGGCCACTGTATTGGATACACATATATGCATGATGCCATATGCAATTATTTTGCTAATTCTGATTCTAAGAGAAAAACCAGGAACACATGCTCCTGTGACATTTCTTCAGTTCTAAGATGCAGTAATGGCATAGCACACCAATGAGGCAACTCAGGTTTTTTTGTTTTCGCTTTTGGTTTTTTTTTTTTGTTATTTTTTTGTTTTTTGTTGTTTTTTTGAGGTACTGGAGTTTGAGCCCAAGGCCCTATGCATGTTAAGCAAGATCTCTCCCACTGAGCTGAATCTTAAACCCAAATCCAACCTTTTGTACAAAAATAAGTATCATGTTAAACATGCACATGGATTATCCTTATGCCTCAAATTTAGAAATGCTAAAATTTGAAAAAGTAGGTCACCCACAGGGAGGTAAAATAACACAATATCACATAGATGTTCTGAAACTATGCTGCTTCTGCCAGCGATCCTTCCATTGGTCCCAAGGGGCATTTCCATTCTTTCTATATGACGAATGACGTTATGGGGAACAGCTTTATCCAGGAGTCCTTGTCCCCGGCCCTGAATATTTTCTCACACTAACATCTGTGTGGTATACTTGCCAACCTATTGGCCTTGGGGATGCTGAGAAGATCTTAGCACATCTCATGCCCAGACCCTCTCCTGGCACTTGCAAATCCCAGGAGACCTTCGCTTAGGTACATGGATGGGAAAGGAAAACTTGGCGCTAGAACCTTGGCTGTGACTGACTCCTCAGGAGCAAGGTTGTCTTGGCAACACAATGGTTGTAACTGTAGAGGATCATATGATGCCCCAGGGAAGCCTGGCTCACCTGTTCCCCACGCCATCGTAAACCCAGTGAGTGGAACCGATACCCTGGAAGGCCGATGCCCAGTAGTAAAGGCAGGAGTTGAGATGCAAGCTGTACAGCAGGTAGGCAGTGGTCCTGATGACCCTGAAGAGGGAGAGAGTGTGACACAGCCAGGGAGGTGACACCTTGCCCCAGAGGCAGCGCTTCAGAGAAAGAACTAGATCTCAGCTCCCCGAGGCCCACCTCATAGGTTTCCCTGCTGGAACCACACAGCCCTGCCCAGTCACCCAGTCAGATACCCAGTCTTACTCTCCTCTCTCTGCTGGATCCCTTTAATTCTAAGGTATAGTTAACTGCATGACACACCACTTAGTCAATTCAGGTTTTTCTTTGTGAAAAGGGCTGGAATTGAACCGGGGCTCTTGACTGGAGCCTGGTCAAACTGCAGGGCCGAACTCAGCCCAGCTGTGGCAGAGAAATCTATACAGATGAATGCTGGGAAAGCTGAGAGGTCAAAGGGGAAATGTGGTCTGAGGAGGAGCAGGGAGGAGACAGGTGTGTGCAGAGAAATGGAAATGAAATGGCGAGGAGCTATGTGTCCTTGATGTAGGAACAAGGATCCTTGCTCCCCAAGTATGGCCTAGGTGGTCCTGGGCCTACCTTGAACATCTGTGTTGCATCCACTGTGTTCTTACAAATGGTCCCTATATTAGAGCTAGGGTGGGGCTTCAGTTCCCTAGACTGACACAGAAACACTGATTTGTCACTTGAGTCAACCTGTGAGTGTCCCTTGTCACAGTGTGTGTGTGGGGGGGGTGTAAATAAGACATCACTGGATCTTATAAAACAAACAAACAGATCAAATATTCCTCTAGAGAAGAGGTTGAGTCAAGAAGAGGCCTGGCTTCTAGAGGCCATGAGGCCTGGAGCAGGGAGAGTGGCTAAGGGGTATGGTGTGTGTGTGTGTGTGTGTGTGTGTGTGTGTGTGTGTGTGTGTGTGTGTGTCTGTGTGTGTGTGTCTCTGTGTGTGTCTCTGTGTGTGTGTGTGTCTGTGTCTGTGTGTGTGTGTGTGTACTCCCTGACATACATATGTCCACCTGTGTGCATGGGGAACTCTCACCTGTAAACGTAGGCTTTGCTGAGGATGGCTTCCAATCGGTTATTAAACTCGAAGAAGGCCATGTACTAGGAGGGAGAGGAAGGTTGTCAGAGTTGTCTTGTGCCTTCTGGGGACATGGCACACTGTTCTTGCCTCCCACCCTACCCGATGGCTACCAGGTAACCTTCCTTGCACTCTTCCTCTAGGTAACCAGTGTCATTATGGTTCCCTCTGTTAGTAATTGTTCCCATTTACTGTCTTTGGAAAAGAACAGCAATATCATGTCAAGGGGATAGTAAATTTAATTGGTTGGCTAGAAAAGTCCATATAGGGGATCCGGAGTGCTCTGAGTAGCCATTGATCCTGACCACATTCACATGACAGATCTCCACCCTGCATCAAGCAGATCCTCCCAGGACTCTAGGTCCAGCCCGTGAGTGTCAGGAAAAAAAAAAAAAAAGACACTGAGTACTTATAAAGTGGGTGCTGTGCATTCAAATCTGTCCTTGGCACAGCCTTACTCCTGTTACCTTGGGCAAGTCACCCAGCCCTTCCAAGGGCCAAGTTCCCATCTTTTGAATGAAGTCCATTATAAAGCAGAAGACCTTTCTTGGAGAAGCTCTGTAGGGATGGAGTTGGAGCTAGATTGCCTACATTCAAATCCAGACTCTACTCCTGCCTTGCTTTGTGACACTGGCAAGTTCCTTAGCCTCTCTGTGCCCCTTTCCTTAAAATGGTAAGAACAGTATTTAAGGAATGGAATTGAAGGGCTAGAATTAGTAAAGTCTCTGGATCAGAGATGAACAAGAGCATCTACAAATCACCAGCAATTATAACAAATTAATACTAAGACATGCTTGGGGGGCATTCACCTCTCCAGGGTCTCCTCTTGGGGACACCTTCCCTTCCCCAAGTGGCAGTGCCTATGCCAAGCCAGGAGGAGCTGAAGGCCCCGGGGGACCTGCCAATCTTACCTTCAAGCAGCGGGGCAGGCGAAGGAGGGGGTTCACTCCGAGTTTTAAGTAGAGAAAGTCCAAGGGCAGGAGGCAGATCAGGTCCATCTGAAATCCCAATGGGGCACCGTAGGAGATAAGGCACAAAACCTTGGGGGTAGGGGGGCTAAGGGGCATGTCTCTATCTGCCAGAGAGAAGGGTCAGAATGCTCAGGACAGCCTCAGATGAGAGGGTACCCCACCCCAGTACAAACCTTAAACCGGCGAGACTTCAGATAGTTATTACGCATCTCCTTTTTGTCTGTCTGGAAGAAGGAGACACAGTGATGGGGAAATGGTGTTAGATTAAGTTCTGACCAGAGAGAGCCAGGATGCCATCATAGGGGTGTGCAGTGAATTGCCGGGAAAGACTTGTGGTTTCGGGTTGGTGACTAGCCATGGGAACAAGCCACACTGGAGTCACCAGCTAGCCTCCATGGATGGAGGGAAGTGGGAGCTTGGAGCCTATTCTCTCAGCTCCTCCCAGGACTACTAGCCACTTGATTTGTAAGGAGATGGCAACTTCTCTGAGGGGGCTAAGGAAGAAGGTTGGCCAAAGATTCCTTGCTTGTTACCAGCTCTTTCATTTCCGGCATATGCTGTCTAGCGTGTTACAGTCTCCTTACCCATTTTGGGTTCACATTGCACTTTAATTCATGGTGCCTGTTGTTACAACATTTGCAGCCCGTGAAACAGTGGCTGGCCTAGCATCACTTGCAACGAATATGGTACAATGTCCAAAACCTTAACTTTTATAATGTTACATTTTATTTTACCAATTATTATACTAAACCTTTAACATGGCACTCAACAACCTCTCACAGCTTAATAAATAGCTTCATAATACTATCAATTTTCTTTTTTTCTTTACTGAATGATTTTTTTACTAAAAGATTACATTTTCTTCAGGTAATTGTGTGTCTATGTCTGTGTCTGTGTCTGTGTCTGTGTCTGTGTCTGTGTCTGTGTCTGTGTCTGTGTCTGTGTCTGTGTCTGTGTGTGCACAGGTCCCCACAGAGGCCAGAAGAGGGCATTGGATCCCTGTAGCCAATGTAGGTCCTCTAGAAGAGCAGGAAGTGTTCATAACTGCTGAGCCATCTCTCCAGAGACCTTGACTCATCTTGTTTTGAGACAGGGTCTCTCTTTGTAGACCAGGCTGGTCTAGAATTTACAAAGATCCTCCCTACCTCTGCCTCCTGTGTGCTGGGATTGAAGGTGTGTGCCACCATGCCTGGCTCCCTCTTAATTCTTATCAATATAATGGAAGTGGCTAAAACCTTTCTCTAATATTTCTGACTCCTTATCTATATGTTAACTGCCTGACTTCTTCCATTGATTCTTAGAGCCAGTCACCATCCCTTATCAAAGGAAAGTTTGATTCAGAAGAGGCCACTTAAAAGCTGTTTGAGAAGAAAGACCTCACCTTTGCTGTAGTGTGGAATTTTTTTTTTAACTTTGCAATAGTGAAGATGGTCTCCTAGAGCCTCAGGAAGCTAGTCAAGCACTACTGAGCTACACACCCAGGGCTACACACCCAGGCCTCAGTGTGGGATTTTAGAAAACGACTTGCTCACCGAACTGGGAACTGGGATGCCTTCTTTTCTTTCTCCTATCCCTTCCCCCAACCCCTGGTCCCTATGTTTTTAAGATGGTCTTGCTGGGGTAGCAGTGGCACACACCTTTAATCTCAATACTCAAGGAGACAGAGGCAGTAAGTTTGAAGCCAGCCTGGTCTACAGAGTGAGTTCCAGGACAGCCAGAGTTACACAGACAAACCCTGTCTTGAAAAACAAAAACAAACAAAAAAGACAGGTTTTCACCACAAAGCCTGGTCTAGCTTTGAACTCAGCTCCACCTGCCTTGGCCTCCTGAGTGCTAGGATTACAGGCGTGTGTCACACCACCAGGGCCACAGTTAAGGCTTTAGTTTCCTCACAGTAAGGGGCTGGCTCAGGCTGTTCCATACAGCAGATCAGCCCCATGCCCTTTGCAGGAGGCACTAGCTCCCTGAGCCCTGCACACTGCGTGCACCGTCTAATTCTCACAGCAATACTTGCATCATTTGGGGAGCTGCTACCACCCTATTCCCAGATGAGGACACTGAAGCTCAGACAGGGCTGTTCTCTGGACCACTTCTTTAACTCTCAGACGGTCTGGGAACCAATTCACCATGGAATGGTATCTAATATGTATAATCTGAACACATGAAAGAGGCAGGGAAAAAAAACCCAACATGAACAGCTGCTCCCAGGATTTCCTTGTTCATTCATTCATTCATTCATTCAGGTCAGTCCCCTGAAGGCCCTGGCTAGAAGGTCTGTCCTGTCACCCCCTCCACCTGCCTGTGACTCACAATGATGTCCCCGCCTTTGACAAACTGCAGGCGCATCTGGAACACGGTGATGTCCAGGAGGTAGATGAAGTCACACAGGTAATCCATCAGCAGCCAGAAGTGGATGTTGTCTGGCTGCTGGTACGGGAAGGCCCATCGCACAGGAATCAGCCAGCAGTTCCAGTTCCAGGCCAGCACCACAAAGAACAGCCACAAGATGTACATGAGGTCTGTGGGGGAACAGGGATGGGCTTGAAGGCCAGCACGAGAGGACCTCTCACCTGGGCAATGGCATGTGGACTTCATCCCATGGGAGATAGACAAACAGATGGGCAGACAGGTGGACTAGTGGATGAATGTATAGGTAGCCATGGAGGTCACTGATAGGTCCTAAAAGATCAGAGTCTTATGATGGGGGGCATGGTGGCGTTATTGGATAACAGATGGCTCATTGGAAAGCCCTCCTGCTTTCCATATTTAATTTTTTATTATATTCATTTATTTATGGGGGGTGGAAGGATCTTATAGACATTTTGGAGGTCGGGGGTCAACTCTCAGGAATTAGTTCTTTCCTTTCACCATGTGGCTCCTGGGGATGGAACTTAAGGTTGTCAGGCCTGGCTGGCAACTACCTCACCAGCCCATGAACAGGTTTTGACAATAAATTTTTCATCTTAGGAAATCCAGAGCAGTAAATGACATGCAGAAAATGAATGGATGGATGGACACACAGGTGGGTGGATACACGGACAGATGAGGGATCACTTGGTATCTTAGAAACCCAGTAGACAACAGGGTTGGGGTCCTGCCCTTGAGTGATTCCCTGTTTAACTTTAAAGAAATTCCTCTCTGGTACCTGCCTTGGTCTTTTCAAGGTCACAGGAAGTCACCAGCTGAGAAGGCAAGGGGCTCCAGTGTGAACTGTGAAGTATGGTACACACATGGAGGGTGCTGGGCTGGAGGACTATGGAATAGACTTACAGAGGATCTCAGGAATTCATTTCTGACTATGGGGAACTCCACCCTGCCCCTGCTCAGAGCAGGGGCTTCAGAAAGGAGCACACATGGCCAGGTTAAAAAAGAAGACTTGGCCATGGTCAAGGCGAGGAGTCTAACTAGCTGTATTTCAGGTCCTTCTCTGTGCCTCAGCTTCTCCATCTATAAAATGGGTGTGGCCTTTGTCCCTAGCCCCGGGGTCTTGTGCTACAGAGTCAGGCAAGGGCATGTGGAATCGTTTGTGGAAAGTGTGAGGAATCATGAACCAAGGATGTCCATGTCGTTGGGCCCTGCCTCCCTTCTCATATTGTATGTGGGGATCTCCTCCAAGAGGACTCACTGGTCAGTGGGTCGATGCTCTGGGGGAACCGGTACATCTTCCAGGGCCTGCGCTTGAACTTGCAGCAGAGCATGTCGCAGTAGTGTTCCTCCTCTGCTGCCTCTGCCTCTGCAGGCTTCTGGCCTGGGGCTGGCTCTGGAGCCTTCTTGGCTGGGGCTGTGGGATGACATCAGTGACAATCTGACCCAGCCCTGAGGCTTTGTAGAGAATGTAGGGAAAAGTGTCCCATTCACGGATCTGGGACAGCAGGGTCTCCACACTTCTAACACACAACTTGCTCATAAACACTGAATGCAGAAGCCAATATGCTCCTCAGGAGCGAACTCCACGGCCCTCTCTTCCACAACAGTCTGGCAGCTCTTCCTAGATGTCTACCCAGCCAGGAGGTGCTCCTCAAGACTCAAGAGCACACTTCATATCTCTCTCTCTCTCTCTCTCTCTCTCTCTCTCTCTCTCTCTCTCTCTCTCTCTCTCTGTGTGTGTGTGTGTGTGTGTGTGTGTGTGTGTGTGTATACACATCTGTCTGTCTGTGTCTGTGTGTCAGTGGACCCCTTGCTCTTTTGATGCCCATGCCCCCATCTTCCTTACTCAGAATGCTGAAGGGGTCAGTCAACTTGGGGACATGTTGATTCAGACTCAGCCGCATTACCTGGCTAGGATTCAGCCTTCCATGGGTCTGTGATACTGTGCCTTGGCTCTTAGGGGTCCAACACAGCTGTGTTTCTAGTGTTAGGGGTGTGTGAAGTCAGTTTCTGATAACCTGTCTTGGGCATTTGAGTCCCAGTGCACAACCCTTGTCAGAAAAACCTATAAAATATCCCTGGCAAAAAGCTTGTTCATTGGGCTGGGTATAGTGGCACACACCTTTAATTCCAGTACTTGGGAGGCAGATGCAGCTGAATCTCAGTGAGTTCAAGACCAGCCTGGTCTACAAAGTGAGTTACAGACCAGCCAGGACTACACAGTGAGACTATTTAAAAAAGAAAAAGAAAAGAAAACATGTTCGAGTTTGTTCTTGTTCATTTTCTTTCTCTGTCTTTGTTTCTGTTTCTGATAGTAGCTCCCTATGTAGTCCAGGCTTGTCCCAAACTTGTGATCCTCCAGCCTCAGACTCCCAAGCACTAGGGATGCCAGGCATTTATCACTTTGTCAGATGGCTCCTTAAAGGAAGGAGATGTTAGCCCAGCACACTGGTTCACACTTATAATTCCAGCATGTGGGAAGATTGCCATGAGTTCCAAGCCAACCTGGGGCTACTGGGTGAGTTACAGACCAACTGGGGCTATAGAATGAGATCTTTTCTCAAAAAAGAAAAAAGAATTATTCAGGTGGCCCAGAAAGACATGAATGCCTCTGAATATAAAGACTGCCTGATGCCGAGCGGTGGTGGCAGAAGTCTTTATTCCCTGCACTCAGGAGGCAGAGGCAGGAGAATCTCTGAGTTTAAGGCCAGCCTGGGCGAGACAGACAGACAGAGAGAGAGAGAGAGAGAGAGAGAGAGAGAGAGAGAGAGACTCTGCCCCTCTGGGAGAAGGAAGCAGAAGAGTCTATAAACCACTAGCTGTGGGAAGGTCAAGTTCACCTTTGACCTTCTTCCTTTCCCGGGTACACATCTAAGGCCCAAATCCAGAGTTTGGTGGTCTGGGCTTTTCTCATACACCCCAACCATTTTCCTTTGCCACACTCCCCAGTAGTAGGTGATGGGGTTCTTTGGGCACCACACCCTCCTTGACCACCTGTGGCCACCTCTACTCCCACTCACAGGGCTTGGGGCTCTCCTCATCGGAAGTGACATCAGGGTCAATGAGCTTCTCCTTCACCTTCTCGGTCCGTTCCTTAAACAGCTTCACCAGCTCCTGGAGCCGGTCATTGATGATGGCACTGTTCTGGCTGGCTGTGGAGGCTGCACGGTCCTGGCCACTGTGGGAACACCGCCGAGGATAAACACCAAACAGGAAGGGTTGCCAGGACCCCAGGCCTATGCTGAGTAATGTTTATGCCTCCACTTCTAGCAAAGTCCAAGGGAGGCTAATTAAACCCAATTTTTTTCTGACAATGTCAGACCCACTCCACTCTCTTAGCTTCTGGAAGAGCTGAGATTATAACCCTGTGGCACCATGTATGGCTGAAGTTTTCTCTTTCTAGTCTTATCCAGAACATCTTATACATGGAGATACCAGAGTCACTGCCTAAATGACAAGGATACTTGGGTCCCTAAATGATTTCATAAAATACAGCCTTCCACTGACCTGAAAAACACAAGTAGTGCAGTGACTATAACATATGAAACATCTGGTCTTTTAAGTTCCTGAACCATCAGGGCCTGTTTATTACAGCAGCTTAACCTACATAACTAATACGTGGGTCTCTATATTGACCTCCTTATACAATCCCAAGGGTAATTTTTATTGTTTCTGATTCCTGCCATATTTTTCTTTTAAATCTTAACTGTGTCCCTGCTCTGCTACATAAAATACAATTTCAAGGTATTAAAATGTCAGCTGAACTGTGTAAGATCTGGAGATTCCCTGAGTCTATCTTTTCTGAATTTTCCACAACTCTGGTAAGTACAAAGTGAATAAAATTATGGAGAGAGAACCACAAGGATGACTCCACAGATAAAGTGCTTGCATAGGCCTGAGGACCTGAGTTCATCCCCAACCCAACAAAAAGTCAAAGAGAACTGACTCCATGAAGACGTCCTCTGACTTACATGTCTACCATGGCACGCATGTATGTATTCCTGACATCAATACACACTTACAATAACAACAAATAAATACATTTTAAAACAAATAAATATAATTATGGGCGGAAAAAGGACAGAAGGAAGGAGGCAGGCCTACCTCAAGTTTCTTGTAGTCAATACAGGGGTCATGCCTGGAGAGCATGTTAGAGTAGCTAGGCCAATGTTCTGGGCTGGACACTTAACATCAAACAGGGTTACCGAAAACCTTCAGGAAGGTACTTTATCATAACCCAGTCCTGGGGACAGTTAGATGCAGGGACTTGGCTTCCAATTCTGCTATCATGGCCTCCAGCCATGTCCTACATACCAGCTATCGAAGTCACCAGAATGCTATGGAAATGCAAGTTTTGGGACCTCTGTCCAGAGCTGTGTGGAGCCTGGGATCAGATTTAACAAGCTCCAGGTAGGGACCTATGGTCTTCTTCCTCCTATTGACTTATTTGGAGTTCAGTGCCAAGATCTATGGTGGTTATGGGCTTCTGCCTAGGTACTACTTCCTCTCTGATCATTGCAGGAATGAACACATCTTACCTTGAGTCCAAGTCCACCCTTGGGCCAACCAGGAAAGTTCTGGGCAGGAGAGCTGTTCCCACCTTACCACTCCAAAACATGAAGTTCACCTTGTGTGGGGTTCTACAAGCACCCCAGATTCGGCTTCTTTCTTTGTCTGCTCATCCCAAACCAACCTTGAAGTCTCTGAGACTCAGGAGTGGCTCCACTTACTCAGCCTCATGTGGGGTGGTAGGGTCTGACCAGGCCACCACTGGGGACTCTGCTGGTGACAGTGCCTTGAGCTCTTCAGCTTCGTCATCCTGAGAAGGTAGCTTCTTCCTGTAAAGACCCAGACAGGTATGGGACCTTCAGAGAAGGCCGCCTAAGGCTGTTCTTGGGAGGAAAGAAGGCCTGATCTCAGGACCCCAGTGTTTGCACACCTCTCAGGGGCCTAGCCCAAAGTGAACAGCATGGACTTAGTATCAGGCAAACTTGGAATTTGACCTGGGCACAGTACTTAAACAATAAAGTGCCTCCATCTTTTCTTCTATAAGTGGCAGTGAATCTACCTAGTAAAATAGAGGTGCTTGTCCCTCAACTAAGTCTCTGCCTAAGTGTCCTTCTATCATTCTGCCTCCTGTTTCTGATCTGAAGTTTCCCCAACCCCACCCTCACATTGTACCACCCTTCAGCTGTGAGACAAAGCCATGGAGTCCAGTCTTCAGCTCACAGTGTGACCTTGAACAAATTTTCTCCTTCTTAACTCTAGGCCCCTAACTACAGAATGAAGCCTAAGTTATCTGGGGTGGGGGGTGGGGCTGTCATTCAGGAACACCACAGGTTGTTGCATTTGGAGCCACTAGTATCTTGTCTGATTAGATATGAAGGTCCACAGGTCAGAGGCTGGGTGGTATGAGCTGTGGACAGGGGGGTCCTTGGCACTATTCTCTGGATGTTCCTACCCTTGTCCTCAAGAGTGGGGATGGGTTGTTTTATGGAGGAATCCCAAACCCTGGGAAAGACAGACATTTCTTAACACTACCAAGAAAGCTATCCCCAGCTTCAGTGAAAGATTTGCTTAGGGTGGAGTAGAGTAAGTAAACACAGAAACACAAAGATGGTACCTGGAGGATGCAGGTCAGACCAAGAGCTGGAAATGATTTTCTGTGTGTCTATGTACCTCTGGTGTGCGTGTCTTGTGTGTGTGTGTGTGTGTGTGTGTGTGTGTGTGTGTGTTTGTGTTTCTCTCTCATTTTCTTTTTCATTTCTTTTTAAACAGGGTCCTGACAGGTGGCCTGTGCTGTTTCCAAACTTGTGACCCTCCTGCCTTAGCCTCCAGAGTACTGCAATTAGATGCATGTACTATCGACACACAGTTTAGAAACAAACATTTTATGAGATAATGAATGCAGAAAAGAAGAATGGCCACTTCCTAAAGACTCTCAGCATATAAACACAAGATGCACAATGCTAACACGGAACCAAGAGTCTAGGACAAAGATAGGTGTGCTAGCACATGAAGGCAATGCATTAGCTTGTCAAGTGAAGGTCAGAACAGTAAGGAACAAGATGATGAGGGCTTAGGACCTAAACTCTAGTGTACTCCAAATGAGAATGACAGGGTAATGCATGCGGATGGGTCCACATAGAAAGGACCTTTGGAACACAAAAAATAAAAGAAGTCAGGATAGGTGGTAGCACAGAGGCAGGCAGATTTTTGTGAGTTCAAGTCCAGTCTGGTCTGTAGAGCTAGTTCCAGGACAGCCAGGGCTACACAGAGAAGCCCTGTCTCAAAACAAAACAAAACAAAACAAAAAAAAAACCAAAGAGAGAGAGAGAGAGAGAGAGAGAGAGAGAGAGAGAAGGAGAAAAAGGAAAGAGAAGAAAAAAGGAAAGAAGAGTGTTGGGACAGAATGTGGCTACAGAGTTTGCCCAGCTGTGAGGATTCAGTGTGCTGAACTCAGTGGCGGCACTATGATCAGCTAGGGGCACACATCAGGGTCTAGCTGTGGTCTTTAACTGTGACACTGTGATAACACAGTGAAGTTGTTTAGTTCAAAAAGGAAGCCTCTGGGTGCTGGTGCAAAACTGGATAGCTAAGTTCAATCCCCAGAATCTCTTAAAGGTAGATGGAGAGAATCAATGCCACAAAGTTGTCTTCTGACCCCCGAATATATGCCATGGCACATGCATACACTAAATAAACAGATTAATAAAACCATATTTTTAAATTGTTAAGAGATGCTGGGAGTGTGAGCTTTTGACTAGTATGTAGAGTCCTGAACTAGAAAAAAATGAGAAAAAAATAAAGAAGACCTAGCACTCTGGCAATTTATAGTCATGTGTGCTCTTTAGGAAGCAATACTCTGCCAAATTGCAAAATAAAACAAAAGAGGCAGCTGGAATTAGCTGTCACATTTAGTGTGTGTATAAACACGGGCATTTCTGCATAGCATCCCTCTGTCCTGCAGTGGAGGGTATCTGGGCTAGGACTCTGAGAATACATCTCAGGATCACCAGCGGAGGAGATCTCAGTCCTCTGCTTCCCATCATCTGTCAGATGGGCTAGTGGCATTGTGAGGACAAAAGCCCAAGCAAACCATCATGGCTAACCTGTGGGCTGCTGCAGCAGAGCCAGGGACCCTGAGGGTGTCAGATTTTGAAGGAGACGGTGGTCTCTCCGGTGAAGGAAGCTTCTCCTCTGGGATGAGGGGGCGACTGTCAGCATCTGTGTCTTCTACCTGGAGCTCTGGATGCTCTTTCGTGGCTGGTACTGGGAAGAGATAGGAGGGGATAGTCAGGGAGAGAAGCCAGGTTCTGGGGCTGTGTTTGGAGGGTCTCTGGTGGCTTTGCCTCACCACTGCAGTCCCCAGCCAAGCTCCATGCAACTTGAGGCCCTCTGCATGTCACTACCACCCCAGCCCCAAACCCAGGAGCTGGAAATCTAGGCTCAATGCTCCACAACTCTCTTAGCTTCTCAGTGTGGAAAGTAGCAGCGACTTGGGGAGGCTGGAACTAGTGTCACATAGATAGGCCCATTTGCTCCCCTCTCAAGGTAGGAGAAACCATGTTTTCCAAGCCTGTAGGGAGGGCAGGAGTCAAGGCCTTGGATTCTTGAAGGGACTCCAATTCAGATGTATTTGCTGTCTTAGTCATGTGTTTGCCTGGGAATCTACTTTGGAGGGTATTAGCACCCATACCAGGGGACCCAGAAGTCACCTGCTGTCTATTTGGGCCTCTGAAAAACCTGGCCTTATTCCTTGGAGTCTGGTACTTCCTGGGGAGTCTGCGTATGGCATCACCTTGGGGACTCAGGACACTGGAGGGCTGACTATCCCTAGAAGGGAGCCTAAGAGGCAGCTGCACACAAGACTGTTCCACCGAAAGGCAGGGAAGGTACTCTGAAATAATTGTCCCTGGGATGTTTCTGCTGATGGCCACCATGGAAAGTCCAGTGCATAGCTTACAGCTATACAGTGGGAGGAAAGGGGGCCTCAGACCTGGGTGCTTGCTTTGTTAAGTCATAGAAAGTGCCTCCCCCACACCTCCTGGAGGAGGACTAGCAAGAATGGAAAAGATTTTTAAACACTGAGGCAGATCAGATCATTTGCTAGAATTCAGCAATTCTCAGCCTGTGGGTCTAGACCCCCACAGGGGTTATATATCAGATATTAACATTAAGATTCCTAGCTGGGCGGTGGTGGCACATGCCTTAAACCCCGGGGCGGGGGTGGGGGGCAGAGGCAGGCAGATTCTGTGACTTCCGGATAGGCTCTACAGAGAAACCCTGTCTCCTGGGAGCAGGGCGGCGGGATTCCTAACAGTAACAAAATTACAGTTGTGAAGTAGCAACAAAATAATTTTATGGTGAGGGGGTCACTAGAACATGAGGAACTGTACTAAAGGGTTGCAGCATTAGAGAGGTTGAGAACCAGTGTGCTGGATTGACAAGAAATCCTCCAGGCTCAAAGGAAGAGGAGAGGCCTCACCTACAGCCCGCTAGTCCCCATGGGAGCAGAAGAGGAAGGAACCTGAAGGTTAGACCCCGGGGATCCCAGAACTGCCCCCAGCATGGCCTCAGCCCCCAGCCCAGGATATACAGTATGCTCAGCAAGTCTGACTCGGGGAGCTAGGCAAGGAATGCCCTCTCCTGCTGCCTGCCCTAGGCAGGACTCCACCACTGCCACCTCCCAGTGGAGAGGAGAGACCAGCTGGCGGAGGGCAGCTCAGACGAGATAGGTTTATAGTATAGTGATCTAGACTAATAATACTAGAAACAGAAACATTAAAATGTCAGGAGAATGTTTACTGTTAAACACTTTCAATGCATTTACTCTCTCCCTTTCCCCTTTTCTTTGTAAATTTTAAAAAATTACATTTATAAGCCAAGCTTGGTGGCACACGTCTTTAATCCCAGCATTTGGGAGGCAGAGGCAGGTGGATCTCTTGAGTTCAAGGCCAGAGTTCCAGGACAGCCAGGACTACACAGCGAAATCTTGTTTTGAAAGAAAATTATACTCTTTTTATTACATATGGTGTAATATGCCATAGTGTGTGTGTGTGTTGTGTGTGTGTGTGTGTGTGTGTGTGTGTGTGTGTGTGTCTCATGGGACAACTTGTGGGAATTGGTTCTCCCCTTCCATTTTGGGGATCAATCACCAGGCTTGGCAGCAAGCACCTTTACCTACTGAACCATCCTCCTGGTCAGCCTTCCTTCCCCTCCCTCCCTCCCCTTACTCCCCTTCCTCGCCTCCTCCCCTCCTCCCCTCCCTCCCTTCTTGGGTTTCACTATGTAGTCATGTTGGCCTTGAATTCCCAATCTTCTTGCCTCAGTCTCTATAGTGCTGTAGTGCTGGTGAGTCCTGGAATTCACTTTGTAGATCAACCTGGCTTTGAACTCACGGAGATCCACCTGCCTCTGCCTCCTGAGTGCTGGGATGAAAAGCATGTGCCACTAATGCTCAGCTTCTGTTATTGGTTTTTAAATGCTAAGTATTTACGTCTATTCCCTTTCCCCATCTCCCCCTTGCTGGGGTTTGAGCTGGCTGTATATTCTGGTTTCAACCAATGCCCTGGCCCCAGCTTCCTGAGTGTCAGGGACTGTAGGTTCTCAGCAGTATGGCAGGGCTGGATTAACCTTCTGAGCTGCTCTGTCGGGCAGTTGTTATATTCTGTTCCCAACTTGTGCCTATGGGGCCTGTAGGTTAGAAAAGCTCAGAAACCTGCTGCAGTGCAGTTGCAGGCCCAGTTCAGTAGGGCTGAGGCAAGACTAACCAATTGCCAGTTTTTCTGGTTTCCTTTTGTTCTGAGGCAAGGTCTCGCTACCCTCAAATGCTGGGATTACAGATGTGCACCACCACACCCAGACCCGGAACAGCGTTCTTGCTGTACTTCATTGTTCCTCTGTACCAGCCATGCCTGCATGGTGCTGATGAGATTACTTCCCAGTCGAAGTTCCCAGGACCCAGAGGACATAGACGGTTCCAGAAACACAGACCAGAAAAGGGAAGGTGGAGAATAAGACCCCAACATTACTGTCACTCTCCTTCCATCTTGATTGCAGAGGGGATCAGCAAAGTCAATGCTTCTGTGGCCTTGGCACAGAGGAAGCCCCTCTGGGCTCCAAGCCTTCAGCAGTCTCTATCTCATGAGAAACTCACAGCTCCAGACTTATCTGAAAGAGTTTCCATTGGGAGTTGCCTCCATCACATTAGCCTGCAGGCATGTCTGGGAAGCATTTCTTATTTGATAATTGATATAGAAGAAATCTATCTGAGCAAGCCAAGGAGAACAAGACAGTAAGCAGCATTCTTTCACAGTTTCTGCTCCAGGTTCCTGCCTGGAGAGCCTGTGTTGGCTTCTTTCAGTGATGGACTGTGAGTCAGGAGTGTAAATTGAAATAAACCCTTTGCTTTTACAAGCTGCTTTTGTTCAGCATTTTATCACTGCAACACAGAAGCAAACTGTTGGCATCTTCTGTCTATGCCAAGCCACTCTGATTTTCCATTTGACTAGCCATTAAAAGTTTTCCTGTTTATGTAAAATTAGATAAAAATAATAAAATCCAGCAAAAGAAGCAGAAGTTGGGGGTCCTATGGAACAGCAGAGTGAGCCCTGGGTGTTGCCCCTCATTGCAGGGATGATCAGAATACAAGCTCACCCCATTCTGTGCCCATCGTGAGCCAGGATGAGGAGACAAGGGCAACCAGGAATTTTTTTTTATCGAGTGTCCTGTTCCTACCTGTTCTGATCTCAGAGACAGCCTGGCCCAGTGTCAGCACAAATGTCTATCACATCAAAGGGAGAGTGGGCAGAATGGCTTAAACCAAGGCAAAAAGAGAGAGAAGTTGGGGCACCTGTAGTCCCCAAGTACTTTGTCATTAGTCAGTGAGCAGAACTAGCCCAGTGACTAGTTGGACAGGCCCTTAATCTGCACTGAATCCTAAGAATTCTTTCTCCTAGCCTGTCTGCACCTTCCTGCTTCTCCTGCCTGCACCTGCTTGCTTCTCTTGCCTGACCTTCCTGCGTCTCCTACTTGCACCTACCTATCCTCCTGCCTGCACCTGCTTGCTTCTCTCTGCACCTGCCTGTTTCTCCTATCTGCACTTGCCTGCTTCTCCTGTCTGCACCTGCCTGCTTCCACTTGCCCTGAAACTACAATGGACCGCACATCACGCCACCATTTGATTTCCCTCTTTCCATGACCTCTGTCCCTCTGTCCCTTCTTTTAAAAACACTTTTATTAATTCTTTTTTTTGGAGGGGGGGGGGAGTTGAGACAGGGTTTCTCTATGGCTTTGGAAGTTATCCTGGAACTAGCTCTTGTAGACCAGGCTGGTTTTGAACTCACAGAGATCCTCCTGCCTCTGCCTTCCGAGTGCTGGGATTAAAGGCGTGTGTCACCACCACCTGGCTACTTTTATTAGTTCCTGAAGATATCATACAATGTATTTTGACAATATTCACCTCCAGCTCCTCCCAGATCCACCCCACCTTCTCACTCCCCCAGCTTAATGTCTTTTATAATAAACCACCAACTCCAATTTGTACTCCTCACAAACTCCTGGTTAGGAGGCCATCCATCGGAGCATGGTTGACCTACCAGGAACCATATCTTTAAAGAAAACTGACTCCCCCTCCCGCCAGAAGCTATTGACTGTCCACAGCCCTTCAGTTAGGCCCCTACCCTCTTCTATCAGCATTTTCCCCAAGCTTCATGGTCTAGAGAGGTGACTCATTAAAACAAAACAAAACAAAACAAAACCAGAGTGGGACTGAGTGCCTGTATAAAATGATGACATGCAGAAAGTATATGTAGTCAAAGAACTAAATTGCTAACTGTGAGCTTCTAGGCACATGGAAAGAAAAGGACTAAACCCCCTTAAGTCACTACAAAGTGGGAGGGAGGTCTTTAGAGGAAGGGGAATTCCAAGAGCACAAAGCATGTTCCTGCAGCATGCCTCACTGGCAAGAAGACAGCCCAAGCCATGCAGAAACCTTACTCTGCCACATCCCAAGCATGCTGGGGCAAGATCACACTACCCAGGCGACGGATGGAGCTCCTGGTCTCCTTGGCGAAGCTGGAGTTGGACAAGGTTGTCCTCCGGGAAGCGAGGACAGGAATGCGGGTAATTGTTGGACGATAGCTGGGCACATTGGGGAGGTGCTCGGCTGGGTTTGGGGGGCCAGGCCTGGGGCCCTCCTGGCCAGGTGGCTGGTCCTGAACCAAGCGATTCAGCTCCATATTCAGGCCTGGTTTAGCCATGGTACTGGGTCGAGAAGGTGGCAGGCAGAGGTGTGGCCCTGGGGACTGTAATCAGGAGTGGAGTTGAGGGAGGTGGTGCAGGTGGGGCTCCAGCCAAGCACTGGCATAAACCAACCTGATACCTGCCTGCTGCATCAGCCCTGCTCAGGTCTGAAGCACCACTCTTTTCTCCAACACTCAACCCTAAAGGTATCACCAGGTGACTTCCTGGAGCCTTGGGACTGCTTATCAGCCACAATAGTATTCCCCACATCACATTCAAAAGATGCCAGACTCAGAATCTGGAGCGGAAAGACTTGGAACTTCAGAACCCAGGCTCCAATGTGCTGAGCTCAGAACAATTTTCCTCTTCAAAGAAACCCTGCAACCAATTCATCTTTCTTCCACCAGAAACAGACGCAGGGCTGGACCCTGGGATCAGTGGACTACATGCTAGAATCCCTTGAAGAGGTTTATGTGGTCCTGTTGCCCAGCCTTGCTCCAGCTATCCGAGAAGTGGGGCTCAGAGCTATTGCCTCAAACGCTAACATGAAGACAAATCACCAGACAGTTAGGCAGGTAGCAGGCAGATTCTGGCTTCGCAGGGCTTGGCGGGACCTAAATTCCACATTTCTAACCAGTTTCCAGGGGACAATGAAGCTGTCAGCTTTTGAGTATTACTTCCCCAGACTACCTAGGGAAGGGGACCCAGCCAGCTTGCTGTTTGGTTCTAGCCTTCACATCTCTGTGAATGCCCAGGGTCCAGCCTGGACACCATAGGTTTCTACAGATGAGTGTTGATTTCAACAGAAAAGACTTTTGAGTGACAGGCCGCTTTGATTGAGCCTGTGTGGGAGGTTCTAGCACTGCTCAACTCTGTCCCATAGCAAGGAGGAGCCAGAAGCCAATGTAGTTTGTGCCTTCACTTTTTGCCTACCCTGGAACACACCATGCCTTAGTTTTGTTACCTGTAAAATAATATATTAGCCTCACAAGGCAACTCAAGGACCAACATCTTGAAGAACAGAATGTGGGGGTGCATAAGAAATGCAGCCCAGTAGTCCAAGATGCCATTTGTCCAGGGGCAATGGCCCAGGCTTCTCCTTAGCATCCAATCCCTGGGGTTACCAGGTGTGATTGTTTGAATGAAAATAGTCCCCCATAGCTCATAGGGAATGGCACTAGTAGGTGTGCCCTTTTGGAGGAAGTGTCTCACTGGGGGTGGGCTTTGAGGTTTCAAAGGCCCAGCATCTCTCTTCTCTTCCTGATGTCTGTCAATGCAGATATAGAACTCTGTCAGCTACCTTTCTAACACCATGTCTGCCTGTGTGTAGTCATTCTTTCCACCATGAAAATAATGGACTAAAACTCTGAACCCCTAAGCCAGCCCCAATTAAATGTTTTCTTTTATAAGAGTTGCTGTAGTCATGGTATCTCTTCATGACAATAGAACACTGACTAAGACACCAGGCCTCAGATTGGGGTAGCAGAGAGGACCACAGTACAGATATGGGTACAGATGGTGCTCCCTACCCAGGACATGCTCAAAAGCATCGAGTGTGGCCATAGAGATGGGGCGTAATCATGCCATTTACAGGCTCTGCCCCTCCACCCCCAGGTTCTCTACACAGTTTATGGCACATTTTTCCTGAGAGGAGGTGGCATGAGGAGCTGGCAGGGCAAGACTCCCCCAATGCTCTGGGCATCATTTCCCCAGTATCTTTGAATGACATCATCTAGTTGAAATAATGGGGTCCTAAGACACAGAGGAGGGTCCTTGTCCAGGACAGAATGGAGGGGCCCTGGGCTGGAAGGAAACAGAGGGTTGGAAGAGGGCCTCACTCCAAGCTGCCACCAGCCTGAAGGTCCCCAGAGGATCCTTTCAACGTCACTCCTACCTGTAGAGCTGGTAGCCTCCTCCTCCTCTACCTCCTCTTCCACCTCCTCCTCCTCTGGCAACTCCTGCAGAGACATGTAGAGAGGACACTGGGTGCCTCATTGAACTCCCCCCAATTCCTACCCCACCCAGTACCAACTGGAGCAGTTCATCTCCTGGGCCATCCAAGGAGGTGGCTTACCAACTGTAGAGGGCAGTGTGCATTGAAGTTCAAGTTCCTAAGCCCAGGGGTTATCTCATACTCATGAGGCCCTGTTTGTAGGGACAAAGCTACCCAATCAGCCTGTCCCTAGAATCTTTACTCCAGGACCACACCTGCCCCTGGACAACAGCCCCTGGGGGTCCCCCTACAATCTCAACCATCTCTGTGCTATGGATAGCTCACCAGCAAACCCCATTGCCACCCCATCATCAATGGCCCCAGGTTCCCCGGGCTTGGGACCTTCTACCTGGAGTGATGCTATCTGTGGCTCTGTCCTGCCTAGCTGGCACTGGTCCACATCAGCCTGCACCACCAAACAGCTATCCAGCAGGACACTAGAAGACAGAGGAAAGAGCCAGTGTTAGTGGAGGTTGGTGTTTCCAAATCCTGCTGGTGGCCAAAGCTGACCAGAAACAGCGGACATAGAGACGTCAGAGGCTAAGTCACATCCACATTGATAATCTACTATCTGAGACAAGGAACCAAAGTAAAGGCCACAGTTATGCAAGGAAAGAGCGCTTCCCCAAAGAAGTGGGTTACACACAGGGTCTCAAGGATGACTGGGAGAGGATTGGTCTAAAGAGGACACCATAGGAGACATTCAGAGAAGCATCTCTGGGATGGAGCCTGCTGAGCATATATACCTCGGGTTTCCCCAAGTTTGAAGGAAATCTTGGTGGCTGCAGGCAAGGAAAGGTATGGAAGAACAGCAAGAGCTGGTGTGTAGCTCAGTGGTAGAGCATTTGCCTAGTATGTGTAAAGCCCCAGGTTCCATCCCCAGTATGTATGGGGGTGGATAGACAGATGTGAAGCAACCTGACCAAAATCACAAACCTTAACCCAAGGCCCTTGTTGTTTCTTCCCCATGAGTTCAGCACCAACAGTACCATGCTGAAGGCTCCTGGCATCACTGTCCCAGATGGCAAGTATATATGAGCCACAGGGTCTGGGGTGGTGGAGGCCTTGGGAGGAGCAGGGAGGAGACCATGGCAAACAGAAAGGCTCTTGTCCGTGTGAAAGGGGCCCCACTCTGTTTGGAATGGGGGGCCAGAGGTATCTCCTCATTTTCCAGGCATCTGAACCAGATTTTTCAGGCAGAATGTTCTGACATTGGATGCTATGTAAGCATGCATCTATTCAGAAGAGCTGGACACTAGCAATCTCAGTGCTCAGGAGGTTGAGGCAGGAGGATTAGAAGTTCAAGAGCAGGGCTGGAGAAATGGCTCATTAGTTAAGAGCACTGACTGCTGGTTCAATTCCCAGAAACCACACGGCAGCTCACAACTGTCTATCTCTAGGATCCAACACCCTCACACAGACATACATACAGGCAAAACACCAATGCACATAAAATAAAAATAAATATTTTTTAAAGGTTCAAGAGCACCCTTGGTTATATAGTAAGTTTAAGGCTGAACTACATAAAAATGTATTACACACACACACACACACACACACACACACACACACACACACACCGCACACAGACACATAAGATTCAGTCTCTAGGTAGAATTGGGCCTTTAGATGACTGTATGTGACCCCTGTGTTAGAATAACTCAGAAGCAGGGGCTAAGATGATGTGAGTGCCACCTCTCTCTCTCTCTCTCTCTCTCTCTCTCTCTCTGTGTGTGTGTGTGTGTGTGTGTGTGTGTGTGTGTGTGTGTGTGTGTGTCTTTGTGTGTGTGTGTGTGTTTGTAGTGGGCCTATATTGTCCAAGCTAGCCTAGAACTTGCCATGTATTACATGCTGGCCTAGAACTTGGAATCTTCCTGGTGTTGGGATTCCAGGCATGTGCTTCCAAGCCCAGATTCTAATGTGACTTTTGTAATTAGAACTAGGTCCTACTTCCTGACAGCCCCACCTCCCCATCAGAGCCCTGTCCCCAGGGATTCACAGCAGATGTTCCAAGGTGTCATTTCTACCCAAAGGGCCATGTCTCAGTTCTCCAAAGGTGAGTAAGCTGGGGCTGAGGCAGGATGTAATGGAGTCTATATAAGTCTCCTGCTGGGGCTTATGAATAATCACATGGCCATGGCAGCTTCCATGAGCTGTGTGCCAGGCCCTGTGCCCAAGCTCTTTGCAACATTGTCAATATCCCTGCTTAGAAAACAGAGGCTCAGAGAAGCCCACGGTCATATAGTCTTTGCAAGGTGAATCAAGGTGCAGAGTTTGCACCATTGTCCTGTGCCATCCTGAGTGTCCACACTGCTTCACATCAGATTTTGATCATTAGCCTTCATTACATTAGCCTTCATGGGTCTCTTCACCCCTAAAAATATGTCAAAATTACTTCCTGGTGGCACTGAATAAAGAACAATATTAGTTTATATCTTGCAGTGTTTTCTTAAATCTAAAAGTTCTTCCTTGGGTCTGTTTTAAAAATAAATTAAAAGTTTCTTAGGTTGGAGAGCTTGCCTAACATTCATGAGGACTTAGTTTCAGTCAAAGTAATATTCTAATATTCTCTTGGACCCCTCACATATTTTGGTTCTAAGCAGAAGTTGGCTTCATGCAGATGGGCCATCCTGTGCTGAGGGCCTGAATAGATTCTTCTGGAAACAGCTGCAAGGCTCTATCTATGGCACCCAGCACTAGTCAGAGGCCTCTCTGTCTAGATCCTTCTAGTGTCAGGTCTCTCTGTGGCCGTGGGCAAGCCACCTTGCCTGGACCCACAAGCCTGCCTCTTCTATTCCTGTGTCAAAAAGCCAGGGCCCTGCATGGGCTGTCTGTGGTTACAGGTCAGGGAGCCTGAAATGGGAAAGCCAGAAGAATGTCAGGTGCCATCTCAGGATTCTTCTCTCTAAACACAGTGAGATGCTGACTTTGTCTGCATTTCACTTTGGAGGAGCCAGACCCTGCCTTGCACTTCCTGGTCAGGAAGCCAAGAACACAGCTCTGAACCTCAGTGTCCCTAATTGAGAAGTGAGCTCAGTGATGGACTTGTCATTCCAACTGTCTCTACAGTATCTAGCAGCTCTTATTATTACTGCTGGTATCCTTACAGCTAATCCCAGAGGATTCATTGGGTTAGGACATCACACACATACTTCGATAAACAACCTCAGCTCACAAAGCAATTTACTAACACAATGGTGGCCCTGTACACATTACCAAGGGCTGCAGAGGGTCCATGTGCCAAAGCCATGTTGCTCTACTCAACAGTATGCCCAGTACTGTCCATGGCTCCCTCTTGTCCAGTCTGGAAGCAGTAGCCCCTCGACTTCTAAAAAACTCCCAAGTCCCAGGGATTTGTGAGCAGAAGAGCAGAGATGGGTTGAGTTGGCTTCCAGCAGGCCCCTGACTTCTAGATTAAGGATTAAGATGCAATAGCCATGCCAGCATCTAAGTTTAGCAGCCTACTCCTCCCCCACTCACCACAAGCCATGCTCCCCCCAAGTTCAGATCTGCAGTTCACCTTCAGCATGTTCCTCCTCTGAAATCCCAGCTTAGAAGGAAGGGAGGACAAGAGCTCAGAGACAGGAGCAGCCACCTACTTGGTTCTCTCGGACACTGCTGGTAGGGGGGGCCATGTTGCAGTAGGTCAGCCTGGGGCTGTGACAATCACGCCAAGCCTGGGACTGGAGCATATGAGTGGGGCTGTGAAGAGTCCTGGGTCAGCCAGGACAACAGCTTCTATGTTGTGACTGATTCAGCATGGAGCCACTGGTCCTTCCTGCTTCTAGCCACACCAATGGGCTGACAGGGAACTGCAGGAACGCTCCAGAGAGGGCAGGTGGGGATCATGGGCCAAGGTTGCTAGGAAAAGCAGAGCTATTGCCTGCAGAGACGGGGTTGCTAGGTGACCATCTGCGTTACCAGGGCCTTCACGTCATCACTAACCTGTGTCTCTGCAAAGCTGGCCAAGGGCATCCTTCCCCAGACATTAACAACCCAGCCCAGCCTGGCCCCAGCTTCACATCTTCTGTATGTGCAGCTGGGACCACTGACTGTCATCACAGAGGCCAAAGGCTCTCTGAATTTAAAGCTGTGGGTGACCGCTTGTGTGGATGTATGTGTGCTTGAGGTGCCTGAGCTGTTTGGACACATACAAACACATACATGAGTACCTTTATGCACACATGTGAGCTGGTGAGATGATGCATGTGTGTATATGGATATGTGAGTGTATGTAGCCAGTTATACACATATGCATGCATGCATGCCCATGTCACTATGTCTGAGGACACACGTATACATTTGCGTGAACCTATATGGCCATTGACCTTGGGAGGAGTCTCAGTTCAAGAACAGGGGCATGTGCCAGAATTTTCAGGGTCCGTGGGGGATAACTCAGAGCCAGCACTGTGTATATAGGTGGATGGAATGCAGAGTACTCACCAGTCTGCCCTAAGGAAGGGGCAGCATATGGCACTCCCACCTGGCTCCGGTGTGAGGGGAAGACCCACAGGGCTGAAGGAGGGAGGAGGAACTTTCACAGTGCTTGGGATGGGATGGAAAGTTTTATATTTATTTATTTATTTATTTATTTATTTATTTATTTATTTATTTGGTTAATTTTTTGAGACGGGGTTTCTCTGTGTAACAGCCCTGGCTGTCCTGGACCTCGCTCTGTAAACCAGCCTGGCCTCAGACTCGCAGAGATCCACCTACCTCTGCCTCTCCAGTGCTGGAATTAAAGGCATATGCCAGCTCAGAAAGTTTTACTATTTAAAAAATTGTTTGCATGTGTATGTATGTGGTGTTTGTGCACATATATAAGCATGTTCATATATGTGCACATAGGTTTGTGGTGTGTGGAGGCCTGCAGTCTTCCTCTGTCACTTCCCATCATATTTATTGAGACTCAATTGAAGTCAGAGCTCTAGCTGACTAGTCTGGCTAACCAGCTTGCTCCAGGAATCTCATTTCCACCTTTCAAGGGCTACACTACAGGCAGGCGACCACATCCCTTGACATTTATATGGGTTCTGGAGATGTATCTGAGCTGTCTCTCCCCAGGCCCTAGATAGCTTTTGAGAGGCGATGAGTTCCCTCATCATTGGAGGTAGGCAAGGGAAAGTGTAGTTCCCTGTCACAGTTGGGAAGACGAAATGTAAACTGAGCAAGAGTGCCCCGATAGCTGGCTGATGTTACCCCATAGGATTCTACATGGATCTCATGTTGGTTTCATGCTTAACTGTTTCTTGACTGGGGATGAAGCTGCCCTTAGTGGGGACAAGAACACTAGTCACCGATGGGCCCACTGCACCCATTGACTACCATCCCTGTGGCCCTTCTGCTGTCAGCCCCCTATAGCTATGGAGGTGGGCACTGGAGAGGGAAGCCTCTCACCAGGTAGCCCTGCTCACAGGTATGGTACCATTTCTGGAGCAAAGCTATTCTCTGAACACTTGTGGTGCTGCCAGGCTGCAAGCTCTGGCCAGAGAAGAAAACCCAGGGATTGTAGGTTTAGGTCAGTGTTGTGACAGGGGGCAGCGTGACAAATAAAGGGAACAAGGCAAGGGGTTAGAGGAACAGATAGGGCTCCTCTGTTGACAGCAGCCGCTTCCCTACTTTCCCTGTCTGTACCTCTCTCCAGACAGCTGCCAGCTACATCACCCTCCTGCTCACAAATCCTCAGTGCTCCCTGTGGCTTTTGGGAACCCAGGTCCAAGGCTGTCGTAACCTGTTCCAGAGGCAGTCTTTTTTGATCACTGACTGTGTGCTCTTCTCCCCCCGCCCATGTACCCTCGCTGGTGGAGTCCTTCAGACCCTCCTCATTGACCATCTCTGGTTGTGTGCCTGGCCTGTGCTCTCTCCTCACTCATCCCCTGCTTCCTCCCAGCCCACAGCTCCTCACTCTGCCAACCATTACACCAAGTCTCCAGCTTCTAACTAGGTCAGGGATCTGCCTTCCATTTTTTAAGCTTTATTTAAAATGCACTATGTGGACTTTAATGCCACCACTGTGTGGATGTGGGACAGAGTAGAACCCAAGGCAGAGGCTGCCTCAGGATCATTGGTGTGTGTGTGTGTGTGTGTGTGTGTGTGTGTGTGTGTGTGTGTGTGCCCGCGCACGCACATGCGTGTACATGCTTACATAAGGGAGACAACCTTGGCTTTGCTGTTAAAAGAGAAGTACTACTGTAAGCTCAATACATGTGTTCACTCATGCACCTTAATGCCTACTGTATACCAGGCATCCGGGATACAGTAATAAAAACAACCTTCTCAAGTCTCAGATTTCATGTGTGAGTTGGAGGGAGGGATATTAGGCTGAGGACTCATTTCAGCACAGTGGGGACCCCAGCTTTCCCAGTTCTCTGGTCAGTGCCCAACAGTGCTCATCACAGAACAAAGGCAGAAAAGCACCCCACCCCAGAAGCCCCTAATCCCACTGCCCAGGACGGTGACTCACATAGGCTCCTCTTCCTCCTCGTACTCCTCTTCTTCCTCCTCCTCATCTTCTCTTTCCTCTTGAATCTGGGGCAACTTCCTAAATCAGGGCCAGAGGCAAGAGGTGAGCCCTTCAGGCTGCTCCAGCCCTCCTCACCCCATCTCTGACATGAGTCCTGGGACTTACAGCAGCTCCACCTGGGAGCTCCTCATCAGTAGCCCCAGGCTCTCTCTAGCCACAACCTGTCAACACGGTCCTGATGGTGACTTGAGGATGGTTCTGAGCCTCAGTGAGCCTCAGTTTCCCCTTATGTATTTCTTAGCAATGCAGTTCAGGAGCTTGCATTGCTCATTGTAACATCCCCTTCTTTTTCAAATGCTTCCCTGACATCATCATTTTGTTCTTTGTCACCATGTCTTAACATAGGCCCAAAAGTCGTAGGGCCACTGCCCATGGACTGAGCTTCTGAAGCTATGGGCTAAAACAAACCTCCTTTCTTTAGAAGATGGTGACCTTGAGTATCTAATTACAACAGAAAGATGACTAACACACAACCTAAACGTCACCAGTGGAGTGTTAAACAGAGTCCAAGAATGGAGTCATTTGGGGGGAATTCTGGGTGCTTGTGAGAAAACTCCAAGAAAGCAAGACAAGAGTCTTGTGACCTCAATCTCTTCAAAAACATGGAACTGATGTTGGAATGTGCTTTTGGGACCCTCTCAGGTGTAGTGGGTAGAAGAGAGTTCACTTTAGATTATTCATTACAACTTGCTGTTGTTTTATCTGCCTCGATGGAAAAACATGTCTCTGCCATGTGCAGCTAGCTTCCCCTTGTGATTGTACACTTTGCTCATGTGACTCTTCTTAACTCTCAGATTATAAATCGTCTGATGTTCTGAATAAAGTTGACTATTGCGTGAGACTTTAGTCCACTTCATTTTTAGGCTCCACTCTCCTAGGTTCATGCCTCCAACTAGAGTGGTAAACAGTGGAAGGCATGTTAAAGCTTGGCTCGGTGGCGCACACCTTTAATCCCAGCACTTGGGAGGCAGAGGCAGGCAAGTCTCTCTGAGTTTAAGGCCAGCCTGTTCTACAGAGTGAGCTCCAGGCCAGCCAAGACTACATAGTGAGACCTTGTCTAAAAACAAACAAACAAAACAACAAACAAACAAATTATGGTCTAGCCACATAATGGAATACTATACAACTATGAAAGCAATGAGGATGCTTTCCATCTAGTGAATTATGGAAAGTGTCAAGGTATATTACTGACCAAATATAACTAGGGAGCAGATAAATACAAATGATATGCCATCTTTTGTGGAAAAAAAAAGGATTAGCCTTAATTAGGCTAATTAATTGGTTAGCCTTAATTGTCAACTTGACACAGCCTTGAGTCATCTGAGAGGATGACTGAATTGAAGAACTCAGCTGCAGAATTGCCTGAATCAAAGTGGTTTTGTGTATGTCTGGAGGAGGTTGTCTTGTATTAATTTATGTAGGCAGGCTCAGCCCACTGTGGGTAGCACCATTCCCTGGGCAAGAGGCCCTAGGCTATGTAAAAAGCTAATTAAGCATAAGACTAGAGAACAAGCCAGCAAACAGCATTCCTCCACAGTTTCTGCTTCAAGTTCCTCCCTGACTTCCCTCAATGATGGACTATGACCTGGAAGTAGAAGCAGAAATAAACCCTTTCCTCACCTACATTGCTTCTGATCGTAGCAACAAAATCAAACTAGAATATGGGGTTCCATGTGTATCTGTCCCCAATCTAACTCTGAAGTAGGGTCTGGAGCCATGTGCCTAGGGGCTGAGGGCAGGTGCTGAGAGTGGAGAGGCAGGTGTGGTCCTGTATCCGGCCCTTTTATGCCTTTAGGATTCCACACTGTATGCCTGGTACCTTCTCAAGCACTGGCTCCTTTTCCAGGACTTCTGTTTTCCCACCTGGGCATCTCCACCATGGCCTCGCTTTCTTCTTCAGAAACTGGAGCTGCCTCTATCTTTCTTCTTCAGACTGCTGGCTGGCACTGTCCTCCTGCTGGCTGGCACTGTCCTCCTGCTGGCTGGCACTGTCCTCCTGCTGGCTGGCACTGTCCTCCTGCTGGATGTCCTCCCAGCAGGGGTCCACCTCCTCCAGGACAAGATCATGCTCCACCTGTTCCATGGGGAGGATGCTGACTGCAGGGGATAAAGAGGAGCCATTTGTGGGATAAGGAGGGTGGCTTATGCCCCCTGAGTCCTGGTGATCCATCCTGGGGCCCTACCATGGGGGCCTTGGTTCCTAGCTGGCTGTTTAACCAACAGGATCATAAGCAGCCAGCTCAATGCCCCAATGACAGCCTCAAACAGCCTCCTCCCATGACTCTCTGCCTTTCCCTTCTTGGGACCAAGCTCTGATTATGGCTGACCAAGCTTGCTTCCTATCAGGGCTCTCCTTCTTAGAGGTTTGGCCAGAACAGAAATAATATTCTATTCACAGCATCATAGCTGATGTCAAAGGTCCCAGACTAGACACTTCCCCACCTCCAGGGGCAGGGACGATCCTGGATTGTCCCAAGGGGTGCAGACAAAGCATGCTCCTTGCCTATTTCCTGGGTGCTGTCTCTTGGTGACAGAATGTCTGTGAGCTCAGCACCTGCTTCTGGGAACCTTATCCCTCCAGCTAGGCTTAGAATATCCACTCTCTGAAACAATGGGGACATGGAAAACAAATACAGATGCTTGCAACTTTTTAACATCTCTCCATGGATCCAGATCCCTGACTAGAAAGCGATGTGGGCCTGTCAGGCAATAGGTTCAGACAGCTGGGTGTGGTAGTTCACACTTGTAATCTTAGCACTTAAGAGGCAGAGGCAAGGGGATTTCTATAGAGAGGATTGTAATGTGGTGAGTTCTAAGCCACCCTGGGCTACACAGGGAGACTCCATTTCAAAAAACAAAGAAGGCGGCTCAGGACCTCTCACGGGAAACCCAATTTACCCTTGTCAAGGAGGGAAGGGGAGACTTCCTGCAAACCAGCTGTTTCTCAAAAGTTGCAGGGGTCTTGGTGGCCCTCAAGTCAAGCATGAGTTAGTAATGGTGACTTCCTTGTTTTTTGGACATAGGGTCTTGCTATGGCAGCCAAGGATGGCCTCAAACTTTTGAGCGATGTCACTGTATCCCAGGTAATAAACGTGCCTGTGAGCACCTCCTCAGCACTGGTGCCCTACTGAGCACTGTCCCCAGTGTCACCATCCTTGTTTCCTTCCTTATGAATGCTTTTTAGATGCTCTGAACACAGTTAGAAATCATTGACTCTTCATGAGCACTTCCTCTCCTCATTTCTGCAACAGGCCTCCAAGGTACCTTAGATTGTGCCTGTTTACAGCCAAATATGCTATAACTCTGGGCCCTGTCACCAAGCCAAAAAGGCAAGGATGAGGTATAGCCAACATATATGGGGGCAGGGGCTGGGGTGAGAGGCTGGCAGGCCTCTGGGAGAAGCTGCTGCCCGCGGTGCTCTGGCTCCCTTCTGTATCAAGAAATAGTCTACTGCTTGTTCTCTACAGCCCACCCGGAGTCCAGTGCTGGTTCAGCCCATGTTTAACTTTCACCCCTGGAGTCTTTCCTGGACATGATACCTTCCAGTCAGTAACCTATCCAGTTGCTCCACTGAGAAAGGAGCTCCTGCTTCCAGGGAGTCTGGTCACATAGGTTCTCACCAGGCTAGACACTCTGGTCTCGAGTCTCCTGAAAGCAGGGCCTGTGCTTGCTTCAGTCTGTCTTCTCTAGCAGGTAAGCCCATGATGCCCCTTACTCTAGTCCAGGTTACATCTGTCCTCATCTTCTCTGCTCTGAAGCAGAGGCCCCCACTCAACACATACACCTTTGAAAGTCCCAGGGATTGCCATCAACAGGATTACATGGGAAGGCAGGAGCCACTTGAAAAGGCAGATTTCCAGGATACCTGTACCCCAGCAATGAGGTCTGGAGGTGGGGCATTCTTCACAATTGAGCCTGGTCATGTGAGGTATAGTCCTGCTTTGAGTATGTCCTCTGCCTGTAGTACTTGTTCAGCCCCAGAGTAATCTTCATGAAGTCAGTCCCTGCTCAACCACCTTCAGTAGCTCCCCATTGCCTAGAGCCTAATCCCTATAGGTTAGTTAAACGTCTAGTTTTGACTTGACTATCAAGAGCTTGGGATCCCCCTTAGCTGACATGTCTAGAGTTCTCCGGCCCCTTGCCCCCAACTTTAGGCGTTTCCGACTTTATTCTCTCTACAGACTGCCCTTTCTCACTGCCAGTTCAAGGCATTGAGGGTCTCAAACTCAAACTCAGATGGTGGATATGAATGAAGGGACAAGTGTCAGCTGCCTGCAGGTGACAGCTCCCGTTCACACTTTTCTCATGAGCATAATGTTGGCCATCACAGCCAGACCATCCCATTCCCAACAGAAGCCACGCCCTTCTGTGGAAGCTGATCTTTAAATCTTATCTATTTATTTACTTATGCATTTATTTATTCATTGAGACATGGTTTCTCTGTGTAGCCCTAGAACTTGGTTTGTAGACCAGGCTGGCGTACTTAGAGATCTGCCTGTCTCTACCTCCCAAGTGCTGGGATTAAATGTGTGCAACACCATCACCCAGCATGAAAGCAGAACTTTTTAAAAGTTAACAATTTTGTTTTAAAGTCAATCTAAATAAAGGCATCTAGGGGACACTGGGACCTCAGGGTCCCTGGCCAACTCCTCCATCCTATAACCCCAGTACCACGGGCAATGTCTATCCAACTCGTCTCTGTTTAGTACCTAAGTACTGCAGTGTTGTGGGGTATATTTGCAATTCCAACAATTAGTTGGCAGAAACAGGAGAATGGAGAGTTGGAGACCAACCTGGAATATATAGCCTATATACTGTCTAAAAAAAAAGTAAAACCCAAAGGCTTCTTTCGGACTTCTCCTAAGAATGCCATGCAGTCACAGATTTGAGGTGTAAAATCACACTCTTTAATGTCAATTACAAATGCCACAGTCAGTGGTGGTTCCTGACTCCGAGAGAGAACTAGGACAGACCTTGGGAGAACCACTTGTAGGGAACCTGGGTCCTGCGGCAGTGTGGATGCTGCTAGGTGCCTGGTATGAGCATGCTCAGACATTGAACATTGAATATAGTCTCCCACAAGGAAGTCCCCCTTGCCCTTGCTCTGGTCAGGGTGCTGCCCCTCGGTCAAGAGCCCCAAAAGCTCTGGTGTTTCACATGACTCTGGTTTCCTGGGTCCTGCCTGGGGTTCACTATTCAAGGAGGGTGGAGGTTAGCAGTCACTGCCCCCTAAAAGGTCTTCTCTTGAGGCATCCTTCTGTCCTTCATCCATCCATCCGTTTGTCCATGGGCTTCCCAGGTCCCCTTCTCCCTTGTTTCAGAGGCCTCCAGCAGCTGTCACCCCTGAAACAAAGGAGGTGACAAAAATGTGGGCACCTGAGTATACAGACAGAAGATGGATGGATGGATGGATGGATGCGGATATGAGTGGCCAAGCAGAGGATGGATGGATGGATGGATGGATGGATGGATGGATGGATGTGGATATGAGTGGCCAAGCAGAGGATGGATGGATGGATGGATGGATGGATGGATGGATGGATGGGGATATGAGTGGTCAAGCAGAGGATGGGTGGGTGGGTGGATAGATGGATAGATGGGGATATGAGTGGTCAAGTAGAGTATGGGTGGGTGGGTGGATAGATGGATGGATGGGGATATGAGTGGCCAAGCAGAGGATGGATGGATGGAGGATGGATGGATGGATGGATGGAGATGGATGGATGGATGGATGGATGGATGGATGGATGGATATATGAGTGGCCAAGCAGAGGATGGATGGATGAGGAGGCAAGGAGACAGGGCAGAGGAGGGAAATGAACATGTATCCCCGGGCCCCCAGTCACCCCATGTAGTGAGTTGAACAGTGTTCCTGAAAAGACATGTTCAAGTTCTATCCTATTCTATGTCAATGTGACTTTATTTGGCAATAGGGTTTTGAAAACATGATTGGCCTCAGGATCTCAAAGCAAAAGCTTCCCTGAGTTTAGGGAAGGCTTTCTCCCCAGCAACAGATGGCCTTCCAAGTGGGAAAATGAGCAGAGGGGACAGGGAGCAGATGGAAGATCAGTTAGAAGCCAAGGAGGCCCAAGCTGGTTAGAAGCGCTGCAAGAACAGCCCACTCCTAGAGTCTCAAAAGGACTGGACTTGGCCAGCACCTCAACTGTGGACATATGCACATTTGTCACAGCAGTCACAGGGGACAAAGCTAAGCTCCTGACCTTTGTGCTAACCCTGTGTCCACTCTTGCCTGGTGCCCACCAGTGACCTGCCTTTCCCAGGAACTTTGGGGTGGCCTGATTTCACCCATCTGAAATCCTACAACCTTCCAGGGAGCCAATAGTAAGACAGGAGGACCCAGCACCCATCTGAGCCCTCTGCCATGTATAGAAGGTCCCTGTCCTGGGGAATTTTGGTCCTTGAACTTCAGCCTGAGTAATCACTTGCCTGACTAAATGGAGCCTAGTTTCTGCTACATATGACTTACTCTGAATAGGAAGGTGTCTCTGTTTCTCCAAGGTTTGCCCTTTTCCTGCTTTAACACCCATAGGGTCCTTACATGCTCTAAAACAGCCAGGAGTCCCAGGGGGAAAAAAAGAATGCTTGTTCTATCTTGCATATGGCCAGCTTTCTTCCTCTCACTGTGGACTCTCACCTCCCCGACCTGCCTGTTCATCTGTATCCCTGGCCACAGTGGTCACTCGGTTTCAGGATGCTCTTGGAGAGCATAACTCAGTGGGTCTGGGATTGGATGAAGGTTTTCTTCCTGCCCTGGAAGGCCCTGAGCCAGTCAGAGGGTATGTGTCTAGGATGGTACAGGGGCTACACTGTTCATAGACATGATGCTTCTTTGCTCACCTGAAGCCCACCACAGTTGGATGAAGAGGTCTGGAGCAAGTGATAGCAAGCCACCCATCACTATTTGGATGGATGGATGGATGGATGGATGGATGGATGGATGGATGGATAAACGAATGTATGAATGTCTTATCTGCTACCTGCCAGTATATTATCCACTTCCAGTTGTGCTGCCCCTGCCTGTCTCCTGCCTGCCCTCAACCTTCTGTCTTCCAGTGATGCTACCACATACCTTCCAGCATACCTTCCAGCTCTTCACAGGAGCAGGAGTCCTGACTGGAGGATCTGAAGTTCCTAGAATCTGTTTCCCAAGAACATCCCATCCATCACCACTTTCCCAACCTGGACTCTGCTCAGCCAAACCCACGTGCTCAGCTTCTAGAGTCCAGTCCCCAGTTCTTGGTGATGGCCAACAGGGGTGTGGACTTGTTTTCCTGATGGAGGCTGGGAGCCAAAGTGGAAATGCTCTAACCAGCAGCTCCATCACTGCTATCCAGAGATGCTGAGCGGGAGCGGGCTCTCTCAACTCCAGGTTGGGAAACCCTAATTTTGCCTCACACTCAGAGCTAAGTATATCAGGTGTCTCTCCCTGAGGTGAACATGGGGCCCATGAGTGTGATACTTACTGGTCTGCACATCACAGGTCCCAGGGCAGCCAGGCTCCTACATGGGAAGAAAAGAGTAGACCTGCCATGGCTGCCTCACCTGCCTCCCTCCTGCCATCAGTTCATCAGTCTTCTCCCCAGCAGAACCTGCAGAGACCCACTGCTTCAGGTCCCCATTCCTGGCTGCTCTGGTCCCTTCTCCCTCCAGGACCACAGCTTGCTCCCAGCTTTTGCTCAGGCTGGAATACCCTCTCTTCTGCTCACTTTATGAGATGCCCACCCTCTCCTTATAGCATCTGGAAGTCTTCTCCCAACTATACCTGTTTCCCCTGCTGTTGTGGCCCCCAGAGTCCTCTGTCATCACAGCATCTTCATTAGCCAATGGTTCCTGCTCCCTGACCCAGACCCTTTTATACAATGAAGGGTGTGAAGCATAAGCCTGGCTTTCAGTACCTTCTGCTCAGCCTCCCTCATCACTGAGCCAGCTGGGAGGGGAGGAGTGTGCTGAACTGGGTATGGACTGGGTATCTGGCTCTTGGCGCACCTCCCATTAAACAAACAAACAAAAAAATCCCTGCTAGGCCTACAGTCAATGCAGGAAAAATAGGGCAGTTGGCTCTGTGACACAAGATAGGGTCCCTGAAATAACTGCAGCAAGGTGCCTGCCCAGAGGTGCTGGGCTAGGACCTTAAGGGCCCCAGAGACCCAGAACCAGTCCAGGCCCAGCACTCTCTGGCTTACTTTCAAAGCTCTTTCCTTTTTTTCCTTCACAAGCCTGGGTGTTAATGGAATTGTTCTCTTCCCCCACTTGTCAGGGGGATAAAGTAAGGCTCTCAGAGGATCCAGGCCAATGTCACACAGTCATTTCCCAGTCCTAGGGGCTTCTATGGAGATGTGAGCTGTCCCCCAGGAAGGAGAATCAGGCCCTAGTCTCTTGATGAAGAAAAGGAAGAGGTGACCATGGCCCTGCTTCCCTACCACCCATGTTGGGCCCTAAGCTGCCAGGAATACTCATGGAGCCTGTAGGCTTCCTGGGAACATCACTTCTTCCTGGAGCATTCCTGGGCTCTGAATATTTGTACATTCTTATGGGTCACTTCCACTAGCAAGCCTTCCTTGGTGCTCCAGGAGACTCTATCTCTGAGCTCTACTAACCCTGCAGAAGTTCCTAGACTGAAAGTTCCTGACAGGCAGACCAGTCTTGTGGCTACAGCATCTGAGCAAATGTATGCACACAGACAGGCTTCAGGGCTGAGTTGCCACTGATGGCTCCCTTCTTGCTGTGTCCCCATCCCTAGGGACCCGAGTCAACTCTCCATCCCTTATCTGAGCTTCCAAGACCCCTCCCTCACCACCACCCAGCCAGGGCCTCTTCTGCCTGGCTGCCACTCACCTGCTCTGCAGTTTTCCCATGGAACACAGGCTGTGGCAGGGCCATCTCCAGCCTGTGCAGGAGCCACTCAATCAGTCTGTAATGGAGAGACAAGCTGAAGACTCAGGGTGGAGAATTAGGGCAGAACAAGCCTGCCTGGAGGCAAGTCATGTCAGAAGTCAGCCCCGGGTCTCTAACCCTGAAGGCCCCTTCATCCCCTCCCTATCCTTCCCCTCCCCTCTCCACCCAGCCCTAGCAGGGAGGTCAGCTCAGCTCTCTTCTTCATCTCACTTCACATAGGCATTTCCAGTCTCTCACACACCCAGGGTATGAGCAGTGGGCAACACCCATCCAGATTTTAAATGCATGTGGCATTGAGTCCACACACTTACTCCTGGTGGCCAAATAGGGTGTGTACAAGGTTTTCGATTACAGGTAAAGTGTGAACCAATTCTAAGTGTTCCTATGTGGTTAAATAAATGAAGTACTATGTAGTTCTTCTCAGCGATTGAAGGAATCAAATAGAACTGGTGTATAAAGCCACCTCTGAGGGCCTTCTTCATGTGTGTGTTTGTGTGTGTGTGTGTGTGTGTGTGTGTGTGTGTGCGCGCGCGCGCGCGCGTGCTGCGTGTTTTGAGACAAAATTCAGCTATAGAGTCCAAGCTGGCCTTGAACTTATGATCCTCCTGCCTCATCTTCCCTAGTTTACAGGTGGGTACTTGGTATATGTTTAAAGGAAAAGTACACTCCCCATCCTGGCTGATGAGGTTTGTCTGGGGAGTCTAAGTTTTCTCCCAAGTGCGTGTTTTAACTTTCTAACTCAGCCAACTCCTATTGGGCTAGAGCAAAGCTCTGAGCCTGCTCCCTGTGGGAGGTGTGGCCTTCAGGGGGCTCACCTGACAGGGTCCCCAGGTGGTGGCAAGGAAGCGGTCTGTAAACCAGGCTGGGGCTCTGCATCTGGCTCCTCCTCGGGCTCCAGGGTTCCAGGATTCGTCTGGGAGGGACTGTCTGTGGGCTCTGTCTCCATCCGGGGTTCTGGAGGATCTGAGTGGTAGGAGAGCCAGAACTAAAGACCCCATAGCAGGGTTTTATCCAATTCCTTTGGGATATAAAGGGCCAGATTTGGAGACTTGACATGGCTGGGTGAAGTGCCCCTTGGGGACCATCCTACTATCAAACAGTACAGGAAGGGAAAGGGACATATCCAAGCTGACCCTAGTTGCTGGAGTCCCAGATCTGACTAAGGTAGGGTTTCCAGTTTTAGCAAGGACTGAACTGTCTCCTCATCTGGCTGAGAACTAAGGCTATCCTGAGACCACACACACACACACACACACACACACACACACACACACACACACACACACTTTCAGGTTCCCCTGGAGCCCGTTTAGGAAGCCCCTCCAGTTCCTTCTCTGTACCTGGGTCCAAGACAGTAGCCTCAGGTTCAGCTCTCCAGGCCTGGATGACAGAAAGATGAATCATGGTCAAAGCCAGCCCTGAATATACCCCACCTTGACCAGCTGTACTCTGGCCTTGTGTGCTCGCACATGCATGCATCTATGCTTTCTATGTGTTCACACATGTATGCAGGTTCGGCTCTCCTGAATGCCTGAATGACAGAGAGTTGGTCAATGCCAGCCCTGTTTATACCCCACCTTGACCAGCTGTGCCCTGGCCCTGTGTGCTCGCATATGTGTACATGTGTGTATACCCACATGCATGATGCTGGCAGTGGGACTATGATGATTAATCTCCTTTGTTAGCCTGATTCAGGATCATCTAGGAGACACACCTCTGGACTTGTCTTTTAGGGAGTTTTTAAAGAGGCTTAACTGACCAGGGAAGACCCACTGTGTGTGTGTGGTACCAGGCCATGGATTGGGATCCCAGACTCAACAAAAGGGTTTAAGAGAGAGAGACAGACAGGCAGACAGAGACAGACAGACACTAGCATTCACTTCTGTTGCTTACTGACCGCAGATGCAATAGACCACCTGCTGTGGTTCCCCACCATGGTAAATGGTACCCACTTTAAACCATGAGCTAACATAAACTCTTTACGCATCTTTTGTCAGGAATTTTGTCTCCTTGCTAAGAAAACAGTGGCTCTGTCTTGCTCCCAAATGTCCCAGGGCCTAGTCAGTCATCCCTCCTTCCCCCCAGTGCAGGACACTCTAAGAAGAAGATCCATTCTCCAGTGGATTTTGGGAGTTGGCCATGGCCTGCTGGAGGGAGCAGCTCCCTGGGCCCCAACCCTCCCTGCTGGTCAGCTGTCCACCCCTAACTCATCACTTACCTCAGAGGGTTTGGGGGGCTGAGGCAGCACTTTCTCCAGGTTCTGCTCAAGCCATCTGATCAGCCACATGCTGGGCCTGTAGAAGGGTCAGTGGTCAGCAAGTGGGTGGCCTGAAATAAGGTCCATCTGAGCTACCTTACTGTCCACTGGAGTCTAGGTCTGGCCAGCCTTCAACACTTGCAGCAAGGAGCCAGCAGTCCAAGGAATGAGTGAGTGAAGGGGTGAAAGGAAGGAGGTGGTTGGGCTGGAAGGCATGAATCTGGGTTTCTTGCAGAAATCACAAAGTGGTTCTTCAGGCTGACATTAGGGACATGACAATTATGTGTGTGTGTGTGTGTGTGTGTGTGTGTGTGTGCGCGCGCACGCGCGCGCGCGCACGCACACACGTGCATGTATGCACTTAATTATATATAATTAATAACTGGCAATAGGTACTAATTAAGGACTTTATATAAAGTCCTGGGCCTTATTTTGTTTTTATTTTTGTTTGGTTTGACTTTGAGGCAGAGTCTAGCTGTAAAGCTGTAAAGTCCCAACTGTGATCAAATTCATGATCCCCCAATCTCAACCTCCCCAGTTCTGGAGTTACTGGTGTGTGCCCTCATGTCCAGATTGGTTTGTAGCTCTTCATAAAACACAGGAGGCTCTGCAATTGCACCAGGCAGAGGTGGCTGAAACTAGACAGGGCCTTCCCTGAGCAGGCTCCCCAATGTGTCATTGTCCCCACCTGGCCCGACACCCTCACTGACAAGGCAGGTAGCTTATTTTGAGAGACCTAAACTGCTGAGAAAACAAGTAGCATATTTCCCATGGTGGTCCAAGCCCTGCTTCCAGATGCCACACAGACCCCCAACTCCTGGAAGGCTGCCTGCACAGAGCTCATTCATGCTCCTTTTCCTTCTCAGAGGTGGCCCTACACAGTGTCTCCAGCAAGCAGCGGAAAACATGGGCAGTGTGGTGTTTACACCACCCCATGCTACAGACAAAAAAAGTAGGTTTGTAAAGAGGAAAGAGACTAGGTGTGGTGGAACACACTTTTAATCCCAGCACTTGGGAGGCAGAGGCAGGTGGATCTCTGTGAATTTGAGACCAGCCTGGTCTCCAGAGCGAGTTCCGGGACAGCCAAGGCTATATGTATGTCTCAACAACACTCCCCCCAACACACACACACACAAGAAAAAGAGAGAAAAGAAGGAAGAAACATGCTTCAAGTGACACACGAGGTGGCAATAGACCCTGCTCCTGAGCCCAAAGCTCTCAACTCTGCACACTGCTTGGCCCACTACAGACAACAGTGACACTTGCTGGCAAGGACTTACTCAGTATCTTGAGCTCTGGAAGCTTCATCTGAGCCATCTTCAGACCCTACAGAGTCAGGAAATAAAGGACAGGGGGGCAGGCTGAGGAAAGATTGCTCTGTGGATACAAAACTGCAGGTAGGGACTGTCAGACATCCTGGCTGCACAGGGGGCGGATACAGACAGTGACTGAACACTGCATATCTCAAAATCTACAGAAATGACTGAGTGTCTTCACTAGGAAGAAATGAGAATTGTCAGAGGACTGAGGTAGGTTTACAAAAGCGTGTGGGGAACAAAACATCACCGGTAACCCTTAAGATGAATAATGCTGTGTTTTATGTATCAGTTAAAAAAGTAAATTAACAAATTGAATAATATCCATGAAGTCAGTGGAGAAAGAGGAGGAAAGGAAAAAGAAACAAGGAGCAGAAAGAGAGGGAAAGAGGAGAAAGCGAGGGGGAAGTGTGGGAGAGAGAGCAAGCATAATACCAAGAGCAAGCACTTGCCTGAACCCCAGGTCAGCCTGAAGCAGTACTAAGACCCCCCAAATCAGGCCACTCAGCCAATGGATGGGCCACTCTTACAGACCGTACGAATTCTCCCCACTTCTGGGCCCATTCCAGTCTCCTCTTAGAGGCTCCCACCCTTGGAAAACCATCCTACCTGTTGGTCTCACCTGGTTCCTCAGTGCCACAGGGTCCCAGAATCTGTGCTCCAGCCTGCTGAGACAGACAGACATTACAGGAAGTCCAAGGAGCAGCCTCCCCACCCCCACAACCCTCTGCAGACCCTTCCTCCACCCGCAGGTCACCGTGTGCTTGTACCTGATCTGTGTCTCCTACTCCAGCAGCCACGTTCTGGCTCCCCTTGCTGCTGTAGACAGGCTGTGGCACGACCCTCTCCATGCCCTTCCAGAACCAGGTCAGTACCCAGGCGCTGGGACTGCCAAGGGATAGGGACACCAGTCCACTATCAATCCCCACCCCATCAGAGTGGCAGGTAGTCTATAATATCCCAAAGGACTTGACATGAATGAAGCCACTCTTTCCCCCATGGTGAGTCTTTTAAGCCTCACTTCCTCTCTGGAAAACTCAGGGTCCCCTGCAGTCCCTAGCCAAGGACATGAGGGAGACCTTTGGAACCTGCCCTCCAGTTGCTCCATACAGCACAGCCAACCTCTCTCCATAGCCCAGTTAGCTTGCCCCTGCCAGCATTCTCACGTTTGGTACTCTAAAAGGAGGCAGAGGCTGATCCATCATTCATGTGAGCATCCCGAATCCCTGCCTTTCATGAGCCCCAGCCCAAGATGTGCTTTGTGGGACAAACTCTATGGACTAAAATGGCTAAGCATCAGGAACATTGGCTTCACTGGGAAATCAGCAGCTCCAGCTGTTGTCTGAAGTCACCCCAGCACTGATACCATTCTAGCTCCCCAATATTACTGTGGCCTGCCCTCTCTTGGCCATCATCCCCATTGTGCCCAGAGCACCCCTGACCATTCACTAATTCTCTGGGCCTCTAATGAATGGCCATAGATATGACTCCCAGAGGTCCCCTCTATGCAGTGGTTCCCTGCAGGGGCAGTGGGAGGGGAGAGGGTGATGTGGTACCTGTTCACCTTGGCAACAGCAACCTGGGCCTGGAGGGTAGACTGAGGAGGGTCAGTTTCCTGGGCCTCTGGCAAAAAAAGGATGTCCCATATTTCAAATGTGGACCCCAGAGAGGCCCATTTCTCCCTTGCTAGGGAGATCAAGTCAGAGGCAGAGCAGAAGGAGGCCACTAAGGGGTTAGAAGGTGAGCTTTTCTACTCTGCTCAGCGGAAAAGCTCCCAGGAGCCCACTCCAAGCTTCCCTGAGCCTCCACTTCATCTGTGAAGTGAGCTGCTGCTAGGCTCTGAGAGAAGACCCCAGCCCCCTGCACAGCCAGCCTGGGTCCCAGCACTCACCTTGAAGGCTAGGGCTAGCCTCAGCTATGCCCTCCCCTTCCATTGGCTCCTCAGGTGGCTGTGGGGTTCAAACAGGACCTGTAAGCCTTGATGAGGCTGCCTGGTGCAAAAGGGACAGCCTCTGGTTCACTCCAGGGATCTGCAGTCCCCAAAGTTGAATGACGCATTTCAATATCATCTCTATAAGTCCTGCTGGCCTCACCCTCCACCCTGGGTCCTTCCTTCCTCACACCATAAGGGCTCTGCACCCAGGCTGGGGCCTCTCCTCCCAGCCCCTTATCCCCCAAGGAGCTGTTCCACTCAGTGTCCTGAGAAGGAGGAGCCATAGGACGGACTTGGAGAACAGGGGCCAGAGGTACTCCTCCCCCATTCCACCCCTCATCAGGCGTCTTCCTCCTGGTGTCCAAACTTTCCTTCATACTTCTGCTATTTGCCTCTCTCCTGTTCGTGCAGCCTCTTCTACTCCTGAACACTGTGTGCAGATACAGACAGCCACACATGGGCATCCGTGCACACATCCACACAAGTGTATACCCGTACCCGGGCTTGGAGGACAGTGGGCAGAGAAGAGACATATTTCTGGGCCTCTGGAAAAGAGTCCCATACTTCAGATCTGGTCTCCCCGAGGCCATATTTATGTCAATGTACATAGTGTGATCATACATATCACACTGTTGTGAATACAATAGTGATACACATGTGTGCACACATATACAAAACAAGTGCATTCATGCAAATGCACTTGTATCTACTTGCAGATACACACGTCAGCAATACAACTATGCTCATATACACATATGCATAGACACTTGTACATAGACATGCCTGTGTATATACACATGAACACATGTGCATACAGATACACTTGCATATGTATAAAGACAAAACTTTGCATATACACATGCATGTATATGCTCAGTCACATAAACAGGCATTTGCACAATTATGTAAGTATGTATATATATATATATATATATACACATGTACACATATACAAATATACACACATCTAAAATATACACAAGTATACATGTGGCATATAAAATATGGATGTATACACAGATGTGCAAACGTAACAGACAAATACACACACAAACGCATAAGCTCATACTCAGAAATGTGCACACACACATGGAATCCTGTGCACACAATAAACAGTAGACCATCATGAATATACCACATGCACATACACGGGTACACACATACACACTCTATAGCTGGTTCCTTAACACACTCTGCACTAGCCCACGAACCACCTTTCTTCTTCCAGGAGTACCTTGCCTCTCTATTCCCCCCAGTTAAGACTCCCCCACAGCCTGTGTCTAAGCATGCCCCACCAGCCTACAACTCTGGAGGTTAAATGACCCTTGCTTGTGAATTTCTGTAAGTTCTAAGAGCTGTGCTGGAGCCCAGTCCCTCGCTAGCCCTGTCTCCTGGTAGAAGGAGCAGACGGGCACTTGTGTACCAACCTCCCAGGGACAATGCCTGATTGAGTCCTCTTTATGCCTTTTGCGCTAAGCACAGGATCTAGCTAATTAGAAGCTAAATGAAATCTGCTTAATTAAGCTGCTAAATTAGTTGTTATCAGGCCCCTGAAGGGATGTAGTGTCAAACTGGCAAGTTTTTGATCTGCTTGAAGGAACTTTCTAGAAAAATGCTCCTCAATATGTGGTACATGGACTAATGCCAGTGCAAACTGCTAACTGGTCTGTGGTGATTGAGCAGTTTGGATTAAAAATTAAGGGTTGGTGAGAAGTTTTGTCGGTAAAGGTGCTTGCTGTCCGCCCTGAGGACATGATCCACACAAGATTTGTCCTCTGACCTCTGCACATTCATATACAATAAAGAAATGGGATAAAGTTTTTAAAAATCTGTCATGTCCCAAAGTGTATGTACTCTAATACATAAACAGTGGAACACTAATCTTGTTTAAAAATAGTTGTTAGTTAGTTAATTGGTTAGTTAACTATTGGGTTTTTGAGACAGGGTTTCTCTGTATTGCCCTGGCTATACTGGAACTCATTCTATAGACCAGGCTGGCCTACAACTCAGAAATCTGCCCGCCTCTGCTTCCCGAGTGCTGACGTTAATGGCATGTACCACCACTGCTCAGTTTAATTTTTTAAAATTATTTTTTAAAATAATATAATTACATCATTTCTCTTGTCTCTGTCCTCCCTCTGAGCCCTTTCATAAGCTTCTCCTTGCCCCTTTTCAAATTTATGACCTCTTTACTCATTAATTGTTGCTATATACATATATATTCCCAAATACATAAATGCAACCTGCTCAGTCTGTAAATGTTACTTGTCTGTATGTTTTCAGGGCTGACCATTTGGTGTTGGAGAAACAATCGATATGCTCTTCCCTGAGGGAAACTACTACTTCTGCTTTCAGAATTTCTTAGTTGCCTCTAGTTCTTGTGTAGGATTAAAGCCTCCTAGGCTGCCTGCCCGAACCCTGACTTTAGCATGTCTATGGTTGTTATTCTCAGAACATTAATGTTCAAAGACAATTGGAAAATGAAGTACTGTTTAAGGGGCTAGAGAGATAGCTCAGAGGTTAAGAATACTTGCTGCTTGCAGAGAACTCGTGTTCCCAGCACCCCATCAGGCAGCTCACTATTATTCTCAAGGAATCTTTTGGCCTCTGTGGTCACTGCACTTATGAGAGCAGACACACACACCCAATTATACATAATATTTAAAATAAACCTTTAAAAATACTGTTTTTAAAAATCTATATTAATTTCCTACTTCCTGAATTGAGAAAGTCTTCCTACAAATAAATACTGACTGAAAGAAGTGATGTGGTTCTATTCTGAAGCTATTTCTGAGTCTCCTCATGGTCTGGTAATAAACAGATCATGGACTAGAGTCTAGAATATATCTCTCTGCTCTAGACTACAGAGGCTGACAAATATGGCCACAGGGCATTTATAATCTATTGCTTATTTTTCTAAATAGAAAGTGTATATGTATGCAATATATGTACCATGTATGTTTAGAGGACAACCTTGGGTATCAGTCCTTGCTGGCCACCTCTTTTGAGACAAGGTCTCTTTGTAGCCCATGGGCTTCCAGAGATTCTCCTCTCTGCTCCCAGCTCCCTGGAGAAGTGCTGTAATGATGGATGTTGATGTGACTCCATCCAGATTTCACCTAGGTTCTGGGGATTTGAACTCAGGTCCTCATGCTTGCATGGTAAAGGCTTCTGCCCTCTGAGCCATCTCTCCAGTCCCATAAATAAATTTTGTCAGCACACAGCCATGTCCATTTGTTGTATGTTCTGCACAGCTGTGCTGATGCTATAGCTGGAGGGGCTGAGCAACTAATGAGAGATGGCAAAGCCCACAAAGCCTATCTTACCTTTCACAGAAACAGCCTTGGGCAAACCAGTCCACTCTCTGGGCCTAAGTGGCCCCATGCAGATGTGCACTGAGTCAGTAGCCACGTTTCCTGCTGGCTCCCACTATCTTTCTTGAGAAAGCCCACGGGGATCAGGTGGTCCAGGCTGTGAGTCCCTGAGCAGCAAGACCATCCTGCCCTCCTCACCCTTTCCCCTCACCAGGGTCTGGACCTCTGGCACATCCTCTTCAGGGGCTGTTTTAGGTGGCTCTGGCTCCAGCTGAGGTTCTGGCTCCAGTTGAGGCTCTGGCTCAGGTTCTGGTTTTGCCTCAGGCTCCGGCTCTGGTTCTGGCATTGGTTCTGCTTCCTCCTCGGTCCTCTGCAGGCTCTCTGGAGGCTGGGGCAGCACCTTCTGGACCCAGCCCAACATCCTGACACCTGTAACGGACAGAGTCTTGAACTGCATGAGAAGGCTCACAGGCAGGCACACTCCTCTTTCACGGCCACTTTGTGGGCTGCAGATGCCCTTTACCACACCTCATCTTTAAAAATACATCCTGTGACAGGGCTGGAGAGGTGGTGTTATGGTTAAGAGCACTTGCTGCTCTTCCAGAGCACCCATATTCAGTTCCCAGCACCCACATCAAGCAGCTAGCAGACACCAGTTACAGGAGATGAATACTTTCTTCCGGCCTCTGTGAGCATCCACACATACATGAAATATACAAGCACACACATTAAATATAAATCTTTAAAAAGAGTTTCTGCTAGAAGGATACTTTCTCAGCCTAGACACATGGGGGAGGGCATAGGCCCTGCTCCAAATGATGTGACAGACTTTGAAGATCCCCCATGGAAGGCCTCACCCTCACTGGGGAGCAGAAAGGGGATGGGATAGGGGGTTGGTGGAGGGCGGGGGAGGAGGGGAGGGAGGGGGATCTGGGGTTGACATGTAAAACAAGCTTGTTTCTAATTTAAATACAAAAAATCTGAAAAAAGGAAGAGTTTCTGCAATTATGAGCAGCACCTCTCACACCCCAGGCCCAGAAATGCATATCTGTTTCCTGGCCCTGCCGTCTGAATTCCAGAATGTAGACTTGCAGATATAGAAATCCCAGAATTTCTATGTCATGCGTGGCCTTTGAGCATGACTTCTTTCATTTAGTGCATGCATCTGAGATTCTTTTGTGTAAGTGTTCCTGTCACTAAGTCATTTATTTGTATTATGGAATAGTATTCTTTGGTATGGATTTTTCGTACCACTTATCCATTTCCAAGATGAGGGAACAACTTTGGGGGCGGATTTCAAATAAAACATACATAACTAAAAATATCTCTACATTGTTAGCAGTGGCTAGCTATTGGAAAGAAACTGCTCATCACGGGTGAGGTCTGCATGAAGTAAATTGGAGTGCAGCCAATAAGAGGGGCTGTGGGAAGGTTGGACAGGAAGAAGCATGTTAGTTTGAATGGGGGGGTGCAAATGCTCTGGCATTGTCATGAGCAGATCAGCTGACTCCCTTCATCCCTGTTTGCCTGTCTGTAAAGTAGGGGCATTGAAGCCAGGCATGGTGGTACCCACTTAGACTCCAGCACTTGCACAGTGGAGGCAGAAGAATCAGTAATTCCAGGTCAGCTTGAACAAAAAGCAAGTGCCATTGATAGTCCCCACCTTGTGAGCAGAGTATAAGGATAAAATCCATTAAGAGAAACCAGGCATGGTGGCGCACACTTTTAATCCCAGAATTCAGGAGGCAGAGGCAGGCAAACCTCTGTGAGTTCAAGGCCAGCCTGGTCTACAGAGTGAGTTCCCAGTAGCCAGGGATACACAGAGAAACTGTCTCAAAAAACAAAACAAACAAAAAATTGATAAAAGCAACATTCTCAGACCAGGGGGCTTATGAACAGAAAGTCGGTATTGTCTAAGATAACATTAGCCATGTGCTTTAATCCCAATACTCAGGAGGCAGAGGCAGGCAGATTTCTGTGAATTTAAAGCCAGCTTGATCTACAAAGCAAGTTTCAGGCCAGCCAGAGCCACACAGTGAGACCCTGTCTCAAAAATAAACAAACAAGAGCTGAAGAGATAGCTCAGCAGTTAAGAGCACTGGCTGTTCTTCCAGAGGACCTGGGTTCAGTTCCCAACACCCACAGTGGCAGCTCACAACTGTCTGTAACTCCAGTTCCAGGGGACCTGACACCTTCACACCAATGCACATAAAATAAGGATAAATGAACTATAAAAATAAACAAACAAATAAATAGTAACACTTATCATTTGTTTAACTTTGAAGATAAAAATGCCAGTTGGACCTGTGTCACAGTTGATAATGACATTACGACCGGTTTCTAGCTCACTGATATTAAGCCAAGCTCTGTGACACCGAATTCTCGAAGGACTGCTCAGTGGCAGATCCAGGCTGATCTGTAGGCAGGTCCGTGCAAGACCACCCAGGACACAGGCCTACCCAAGATTTTACCTCCTTCCTGTCTCTACCAGGACCCTTGAAAAAAGTAGCCCCGTGGCCAGGGATCCCTACCCCAGGACCAGCTTTCCAGAGACCATCGCCAGGCTCCTTGACCTCTATCCCAGCTCTGGCTCAGCTTTCCCAGGACAGCCTCAAAGGGGGCAGAGCTTAAGCTGTGCTTTCAGATCAGCCTACAGAGAAGTGACCGAGGGGGGGGGGCGGGAGGGCAGACACAACCATTGGGTTCTTGTAGTTCCCTGCTGGCTAGACACAGCGACTTCCTCCCAAGGTCACATGTTTGGGATGCCAGAATGCACAGACTCCAGCCGGTTACCAGCAGGCCCAGAACCAGACCTGAGGAAAGCCCTCCTCCTGACACCTGGCTCCCACACCCCTCTGATAACACCTCATTCTCCTGACCATCTTGCCCTCCCCTACTTGCTGTAAAGGGAGAATCTTCTGGGGAGCTAGAGAAAATGCAGATTCCTAGGTTCCCCCAAGCCCTCTGGGGGTGTCAAGTCTCAGGCTGCCCTGAAGCTCCCAAAGTCTAAACCACCAGAGGAGGCACCACAGCTATCCTGCCAAGTCTATTTCATTTCCTAAATGCTCTGTTAGGAGTTGAGCATGGGGATCCCCCAAGGAGTCCTACTGAGGCCCCACTTCAATTTGAGTTACCTGTTCAGATGTCAGCTGCTGGCAGGAATTGCCTTCTCAATGCTGCTGCAGCTGGCCCCTCAGACACAGCCAGGATTAATTGGCACTAGATGGGCCGGGTGCAAAGGATTAGCATTGCAAAAGGGGGGGCAGGGTAAAAAGATGACTGGTGCCCAGGGGAGCCAGCAGCAACCCCCCCAAGTGTATCCAACAGGGTCCTAGATAGAATGTTTAGGTCCTATAAATTTCTAGGGAACCTGCCCCAGTGCCAGGTCCCGGCTTCCTGACACAGCCAGTGAGCGGCAGCAGAACTAGGAATAGCCTGCATGCCTGTGTGGTTCTGGGAGACTCTTCAAGGTGACAGGAGCTCATCAGTTCAGTCAGAGGGGACAGGAATGTGTCCTTACTCTCCAGCATGGATACTGAAACTCAGCAGGCTCTCTGTGGCAGAGTCTTAAATAGCTTGAGCTTTACCACAAGAACCATTGACCCAGGACAAGGCCTTTAGCCAAAAATCTGTACTTATCAGCATTTCCAGAGAAACAGAACCAAGAGAGTATGAAGTCTCAGGACCAGAAGGCTTAGGATATAGTCCCAGTTAGATGTCTCAGGTCTCAGAGTTCCTGAAGGGTGGCTGGTGCAAGACTCAGCATCCAAGGTGGCTAAAAGACCCAGAGTCTGTGGTCCAAGGCCAGCAGCAGCAGGAAGAACCACACCCAATTATGGAAGAAGAATCAGAGACAGTTCTCCTCTTTCCACTATCCTGTTCCCTCCCAGACACTAACCAAGCAGATAGTTCCAACATAGTAGGATGAATCTTTAGTTTGCTGACCTACATGCCAATCTTGCCTGGAACCACCCTCCCAGACACACCCAGATGTGATGCTTTACCAAGTCTCTAGGCATTCCTGATCAGCCAAGTTGAAACTCAAAATTAACAGTCTTGACCATTACAGGTCCCAAGGTCTGGCTAATAACTGACCGAATTGGTAAACCGAGGCTGAACTCTCAGGAGAAATACAAATCCAGGAGGATGGGGTACAAAGTGCAATTGGCCCAGAGGAGAGGAGCTCTATGAGATGGTAGCACCTGGATTGGTTCTAGAGTCACAGAAGGGGCAGACACTTAACCTGACCATCTGGAACAAACTTTTGGAGTTCTTACTGAGTACCTAGCTGTGAGCCAACCCTTAGTGTGTTGAATAACACTGGTTTAGGGCTTCCTCTGAAGCCAATTGTCCTATTGCATCTGGGTAACTATAACACAAAACCTTAAACCAAGTCATTTACAAGGAACAGAAAGGTACTGTTCACTGTTGCAATAGAAGATCAAAGCAATAGAGGAGGTGTTATCTGGGAAGCACCTGTTCTTCGTAGGTGGTGATGTCTATGTTTTGTTTGTTTCTGATTCCTGGCTGTGGTCACCAAGCTTGTTTCTACCTTTTGACTATAAACCACATTGCTCTGAGTATCAGCATGCAAGTCTTCATGGCACAGGTTCACTTCTCTCAGACAGTTTCTAGGGTAGGCTCTTCCATATGAAGCAATCATATTGCAAACTTCTCCTTCTTGTTTGGGTTTTTCAGAGACAGGCTATTACTACAATTTCCTAGAGGAAACATAAGCAACTTCTACTCCTCCTCTCCCAAGTTCCCAGTGACAAACCCAGCACAATGCCACCAGAGTTCACTCTGGGGAACTAATGCATTTATCAGGGTTACTTACAGAGCGTGGTATAGTGTGAGCGAAGACGATCTGTAGTCTGTGAGGTTAAGATATCTTTATTCAGATAAACACCGGCCAAGCATAAGCCAGAGCGTGCCCAAAGGCAGCAGGCTAGGGAGTCCAGAAAGAGGGACCCCCACATGTCTGCCACCCCCTTAAGAACTCCCCAGGCATCATCCTGAACCTCCCCTGACCACGCCCTCACAGGTGTAGTCAAGCACGCCTGTACCTAGTTCCTAGGAGGTGGGGCTACAGTGACTCCCTACAATTCCCCTTTTAGTCTAAAAGAGGATTAAAACTTAATAGTGTAAAACATCTAAACTTAACAATTATAAAGGTGAAATACAAGAAGATACAATAATCTGTTATGGCACATCCTAACTATGTCTATTCTAGCTAAGCCCTAAAGTCATGTGAAAAGGGTGTCCAACTTGAACACCTCCTTCCAATCCCAACTCTAAACAATAAGAAAGTTACTCCTAACTAGGCTTACACTACCCTAATAGACAATAATAGGGAACGGGGGTGTAGTATCTTCCAAGTTACTTTCTGCTGAAATGGGACGATGGTAGCTTTGTGGGGTCCTGTGGGAAGAAAATGTTAGTATAGTGAAAGTCTCTAATGGGTTATCTCCAGGTTAGATGGGATTTGCTTGATTGAAGATCTGGGTTGAAATCCTCAACTTGATTGAAGCCAGTACTTGAGGCTCTGGTCGGAGTGTCAGTTGAAACGGAGTAAGTTGAATCCAGTGCAGTCTAGGAGGTATGGCCCAATTCCTTTTTTGGAGCGTCCAGGGATTGTTGTCAGGCGGGTCTTCATTGGCTGTGTGGGACTCAAACATAAGTGTTAGCAGAGAAATGTATACTGGGAAAGGCAACCATGGGAGAATAACAATTATGAGAGGGTGTACACCTTGAAAGAAAGAGCCAAGAAAAGACAAAAGATAGTCCTGTGTCTCCCTACAGCGTGGGTGGGGGGTTATTTCTGGAATGGGTGCTCCTCCCCCAAGATTCTACACCAGAAAGTCTTTACCCAGCAGGGATGAAGACTTTCTTATAGTTGTATAGATGGAGCAGTCTTCCCTCACCTGTATACTCTAGTCTCTCTGAGGCCATGTGCAGTTAGACCAGAGTTGCTATAACAGGTGGTAGAGAGCAGCTGGATACACACAAGTGAGAATCTTGCAACACCCACCCCCCAAGGGATGTAAATTGTCAACAAACCCAGGGGAAATGATCTTTTGTAAATTAGCACAGCAGAACTCCCCAAGATGGCAGCTGTTTGGCTGGGAGGATAGTCCTGTACAACACAGGGTCACATACCACATAGCCATGGCTGGATTTGAACTCAGCCTCTGGACTGCTGAGATTATAGCTGTATGCCAGAATGCTTAGCTCATATTCCACTTTTTAAGATACCACTAGACTCTTTTGCAATGTTAGTACCCTGTGTCTGGACCTGAGTAGCAGTTGCCTGTTTTGGGATTGGAGGCTATGTCTCAATTTATAAATTACTAAATTAGAAGTTTATATAGTTTCTGTATTTTTTAATTTGGTTTTTTAACACAGGGTAACTCTATGTAGCCTTGGTTGGCCTGGAACTCACTAAGTAAACCACGCTGTGCCTGAACTCACAGAGACAGTCTTGCTCTGCCTCCTGAGTAATGAATGGGATTAAAGGTGTGGGGCACTATGCCCAGCTCTTTTCTAACATTAAGAGTTGGACCTTGTGGGGTAGTGGTGGGCACACACTTTTAATCTTACAAGATTCTAACAGCAGGGAATTCTGAATAGCATGTTTAGCGCTCCTGCAAGTGTATGCAAATTATATGCTAATATATGCAAAGGATTCCAAACCTTAGGATGTCTACCTCTAAACCCAGGATTTCAGATTCTGAGCTAGGATACCCACAGCCTGGCTTTCCTAGGAAGGTGGAAGGCTGCAGTTCCCCAAGTGGTGAGATGAATGGGATGGGGGTGGGGTGGAGTATCACCTGCTAATCCCTTGCCTGCTGAGGCCACCACTCTGCCAGATCCCTGCCCTGATCCTGGAGCCTGGCTAATCTCCATCCCCAAAGACCAAAGACAGCTTGGCATCCTCTTCCCTGAGATTCATGGGGACAGGGGGCCTTCCAGGCTCCCAAGCAGCCCTGTTGCAGAGCCTAGGGTCCTTGCCTAACACAAACAGTGCTCTTGGATGCCAGAGAGAGAGTAGTAACTAGAGTAGTGTAATTGTCCTAGTTAGGGCTACTATTGCTGTGATGAAACACCAAGACCAAAAGGTGTTGGAAAGGGTTTAATTGGCTTATGCTTCCAAATCACTGTTCATCACCAAATTAAGTCAGGGCAGGAACTCAAACAGGGTTCAAACCTGGAGGCAAGAGCTGATACAGAGACCGCAGAGGGGTGCTGCTTACTGGCTTGCTTAGCTGCTTCCTTATAGAACCCAGGATCACCAGCCCAGAGATGGTATCACCCACCATGGGCTGGGCCCTCCCTCATCAATCACTAATTAAGAAAATGCTTTACATGCTTGCCTACAGCTTAATCTTATGGAGGTATTTTGTCAACTAGGGTTCCCCCATCTCAGATGACTATAGCTTGTGTCAAGTTGAACTAGCAAGCACAGTGACACAGCCTTGAGGGAGCCCAGCAGCTATCCTTGCCTGAGTGTGGCCAGGTCACCTCCACAGAGCCCCAGCTCTGACATTTCCCAAGATTCTTGTGTAGCAGTCATGGAGACTCCAAGCTTCAGGGCATGGGTGTCAAGTGCCTAGGGGTCTCTGCAGCCTGTTTTGCTAGGGTTACCCGGGAGCTGCGTCCTCACAATCAGGCTGCAGTGGGCATTGTCTCTGTGGTGCTCCTATCCTGCAGCTGCTCATAAGGCCTGACCACCTCCCTTCCTCTGCCCACTGAGCATCAGAAGAGAAGGCCCTTCCCTGCCTGTGCACCTGTGTCTGTGCCCAGCAGATGAGGTAGTAGCTGTGGGTAGATGGCAGCATGGGAGCTGTCTTCTTTCTCTCTGTTCTACCATCCTGTCCTTCCTCATGTAGTGTCATCTCTGAGGCAGCATCCCATACTTTACCACCATGTCCCTTACTGGTCCTCCATGGTCAAGTTCCTCTCTCCCCTGTCTACCTAGCACCCATCTCCACTTTTCTTCTCGAACTTGGGGGTCAGCAAGTAGAATCAACAAATTCTCACTAAGGTGTAAATGTCTAAAAGGGGGCTCCAGGGTATATCTGCTTCTTAAGAGAGAGGCACTAGGTAACCATCATCATTTTCTAACTCAGATCTGTCATGTTTCTCCCCTTTAAAACAGTCTCATCCGTCTGTAGCATTTGGGGTAAATGCTAGATATAGACAAGGCAAATCTAGGGTTGGCTACTTACTGTTGCAAGCCACACAGCATTCTAAGCTACATTCTGAATGGCTTAACTGTGGCCTTTTCCAGTTCAACACTTAGGTTTCACCTGGCTTAGACAGCTCCTGGAGCACCCCAACTTCAGGCCTCTCAAACCCCCACACACTCTGTGTTGATTTCCCTCATAGCGCTGGGTGCAGTGTGTGTGTGTGTGTCTGTGTGTGTGTGTGTCTGTGTGTGTGTCTGTGTCTGTGTCTGTGTCTGTGTCTGTGTCTGTGTCTGTGTCTGTGTCTGTGTCTGTGTCTGTGTCTGTGTCTGTGTCTGTGTCTGTGTCTGTGTCTGTGTCTGTGTCTGTGTCTGTGTCTGTGTCTGTGTCTGTGTCTGTGTGTCTGTGTGTACATAGACCATGCACATATATATCTGTTGTTTGGCTGTCCCTGCTACCCAAGAGGAGTTCCTGAAAAATCACTGGGCACACAGAAGATAATAAATGCTTGCCAAATAGTTACATCAACATAGGCCAAGAACATGTGCCTGTATGGAAGGGCATCTAACTCAACTCTTCTGCTCCCCAGTGATGGCCCGCATCGTCAACATTGTACCCTGGGACGATGACTCCGCCCACTTGTATGCTTCCCCAGCCATCCTACTCCCTCTGGAGCATGTGCGCTACCCACTTGCTGGTGTGAAGGACCAGCTCTACCACCCAGGCCTGCCTACCCTGCGGCGCATGGATATGGACACTATTAAGGGTTGCCTCTCGGATGAGCACTGCCAATCTTCCACTTACTGCACCAAAGGTCAGACCTTGTCACCACCAGCAGCTCAGGGTCTCCTGTTTGCCTTTGGAGCAAGGATGGTTTCCAAGATGGAAATCTTGGAGGGAAAAGCTTGGGGCAAGTGGCAGATGAAAGAATGATGAAGGCCAGTTCAGTTCCCTACTCCCTTCCAGAAAGTTCCTCGAGGCCTGGCCTCTACATCCTGAATAGAAAAATGGGAGCCAGTACAGAGCCTGCCTCCCAGGGCTATGTGAGGCAATAAGTAAGGGTGAAGAGCAGGTTGCCTGGTCCTGCATGACTGATCGGCAGATGACCCTGCTGCGGCTGTTGTGGGTGGCAGTGTTCCATTTCTTTTAGATCTTAACAAAATAAGGTTTCTTAGGCTTGCAATTCTGGAGGTGCCTCCCCCCACTGCATTGCCCAGGCTGGCCTTAAACTCTGCTCCTCCTGCCCCAGATATGTAGCCCCATGCCTGATCTTCTTAAGGGCCTGTCATGTGGTAGAGGAGGGCTCAGTGACATGTGTGCCAGTGTGTATGTAAGCACGCACAAAGAGTTCAGAAAATAACCTCAGGTGTTGTTCTTCTTACTGACCTGGTGTTTGATGGCCTTACTGACCTTACTGATCAGGTGTTTGATGGCCAGCAAACACCGCGATCCTCCTGTATTCTCCCCACACTAGGATGACAAGTGGGCACCATCATGCTCAGTGTTTTATGTGGGTGCTGGGACCAGACCTTGAGTCCTCATGTTTACACAGCAAGCACATTACTAACTGAGCTACCCCCACCTCACCCCACCCCAGCCATCATTTCTTTGAGACAGTGACTTGCTATATTGTCCCGGCTGACTTTGAACTCCTGGGTTCAAGAGATCCTCCCTGATCAACCTCCGGAACAGCAGCAGGTATTGGTGGCCCACACTACCACACTCAATACAGAAACACAAGTCTTTTGCTCCTTGACGTTTTAAGATTTTCAAATAGAAAAAAAAAAGTTGAAAGGGCAGTATTGTGGGCATCCTTTCCCTCTGCCCATCCCAAGGTCTGTTTCAGCATGTTTGTATTCATATGCCACGTCTCTTGCTTTCTTCCCTCTCTCCATCTATCTCTCTCCCTGATCTCTCTCTCTCCTGTACCCCCTTTCCTCCCCCTCCTGTTTTCCTTTCTCTCTCTTCTCCCTCTTTCTCTCACATTCACACACATGAGCATGCAAAACTTTGCCAGGTAGTTCCCAATGACAAGAACAGCCTCCTTCATGACAAGATACAATTATCATATCTAGGAAAGATAACAATAATTCCACAATATCTCTTAACCAACACACCTTAAAATCCCCCAAGTCTCCAAGTACGTATTTTATAGCTTAAAATGGAAATAGGATTGAATCAAGGATTATGCATCACTTAAGTCTTGAGCCTTAGACTAAAATGATTTTCCATCATTTCCATTTCCTCTTTTACTATTGGCTTCCTATTACAATTTTCTGTAATTTGTTTAAGATTAAGATGACATCATTTTCCCCCATCACTTTCCTCCCTTCAAATTCTCCCATGCACTCCCCCTGACTCTCCCTCAAAATCATGGGCTCTTTTTCTTTAATTGTTATTACATACATACAGACGGACAGACAGACATATTCCTAAATACAGTCTGTATAATGTTACTTATACGGATGTTTTCAGGCCTTAGTATTGGAGAACCAATTGGTGTGCTCTTAGCTGGGGAAAAATATTTCTCCCACTCTCAGAATTCCTCAGTTGCCCATAGTTCTTTGTCTATGGTTGAGGCCTGTGACCTTCCCTGTTTCCACGTTAGGTGTCTATTAGTGCCATCTTTGTGCAGGTCATATATAGGCAGCCATGTGAGTGAGATGTCATAGGTGCAGTTTCATGGACATTTCTAGGAGACACAAACTTCCTGTGCCTCTGGCTCTTTCTGTTCCCTCTTCCACAATGATCCCTGAACTTTGGGTGCAAGAGTTGTGTTATAGATGTATCGGTTGGGACCTAAGACCACAACTTCCCATTTTGATCAATTATGGCTTTCTGTAATGGTCCCCATCTACTACAAAGAGAAGTTTCCCTGATGAGAGGGTAAAAATTACATTTATCTGTGTATATAAGGACAAATATTTAGAATGTAGCAAGGGATTATGCTGATTTGGTAACATGGCAGTTGTGGGTTCTCCAAGATCAATGACTTCACTAACCCCAAGTAGTTGAGGGATATTAATGACCATTGGTTGTTCATTCTTGTTTGTTTTTGATTTGGTGATGGTGGCGAAATTATGTGTGGGATTCTATCCCTTTTTCCTTTTGGTGGTTGGTAAAGTGGGGTGATCTATTGCCTATATTTTTCTGGTTGTGGTTAACTTCCTTGGGTTGCAGTTTTCCTTCCAGAACTTTCTGCAGGGATGGATTGGTGGATATTTATTGTTTGAATCTGGTTTTGCCATGGAATATCATGGTTTTTCTCCATCTATATTGATTGAAAGATTTGCTGGGTATAGTAGTCTGGGCTGGCATCCATGGTCTCTTAGTGGAGGTAGAATATCTATCCAGGACCTTCTGACTTTCAGAGGTTCCGTGGAAAAGTCAGGTGTAATTCTGATAGGTTTGCCTTTATATGTTACTTGACCTTTTTCCTTTGCAGCTCTTAATATTTTCTCTTTATTCTGTATGTTTGATGTTTTGATTATTATGTGGTGAGGAGACCCTTTTTTTGGTTCAATCTATTTGGTGTTCTGTAGGCTTCTTGTATTTTCTTGTATTGGCATGTCTTTCTTTAGGTTGGGAAAGTTTTCTTCTATGATTTTGTTGAGTATGTTTTCTGTGCCTTTGAGTTGGATTTCTTCACATTCTTCTATACCTATTATTCTTAGGTTTGGTCTTTTCACAGTGTCCCACATTTCCTGGGTATTTTGTGTCAGGGATTTGTTGGACTTAAGATTTTCTTTGGTTGATGAGTCTATTTCTCCTAGTGTAGCTTCAACTCCATCTATATTCTCTCTTCCATCTCTTGTATTCTGTTGGTTATGCTTGCGCCCGTAGTTCCTGATCGTTTACTCAGCTTTTCTATTTCCAGCATTCCCTCAGATTGTGCTTTTTTTTTCAGATTGTCTCTATTTCAGTTTTTAGGTCTTGAATTGTTTCCTTGAGAGATTTGTTGATATCTTGTATTATTTGGTTTGTTTTTTCTTTCATTTCTTTAAGGGATTTTCTCATGTCCTCTTTGAGGTCCTCTATCATTTTCATGAAGATGTTTTAAGGTCATTCTCTTCTGCTTCATCTGCATTGTGATGTTCAGGTCTTGCTGGTGTATGGTTCCTAGTCTCCGGTAGTATTATATTGGGTTTTCTGTTGTTGAATATGTTTGTTTTTACATTGTCCTCTTCTCATCCTTTCTACTGGTGGGTGTAGCAGGAGTCTCTTTGTCTCCTGGTGGGTATGGGACCAAGGTTCCCTTCTGGTAGATGCAAAAAGTTCCAATACTCTGATGTCTGTCCTCTTGTCGTGGATGGAGGTGGCATGTTACTGGGGCCTTGGCAGTGTCCGGGTGTGTTGGATCCCACTCGCGAGTTCGGATCTGGTGAGCAGACCCCTGGCATCAGATGTTTCCAAGCAGGGCCTCTGAACCGGAACCAGAAACAGCTCCTGGCCTTTTTTTTAAAGATGTATTTATTTATTTATTCTGTATACAGTGTTGTGCCTGCATGTATGCCTGCACTGCATGCTTGAAGAGGACACAGGAACACATTATAGATGGTTGTGAGCCACCACGTGGTTACTGGGAATTGAACACAGGACCTCTGGAAGAGCAGCCAGCGCTCTTAACCTCTGAGCCATCTCTCCATCCCCCCTACTACTAACTTTTTAAAGGAGTCAAAACAGCTGTTTCATAGACAATCCTCCATGTTGAATTTCAGAAGTTGTTTCCAGGGTATTCTCTACCTTGTTAAAGGAAAGCTGGACCTATAGACTTGATTATCACACACTTCAGAGGTGGCCTGATTCTGTAAGAAGGGACATTGAATTCTTCATTGGTAATTTGGTAATTTGGTTAAGGTGGTAACCTAGGTGTGAAATCTTCTTCCAGTAGTCTTGAGATTTAGAAATTCTAAACTTACATGGACTCAAGTGAATACTTTTTGTGGTTCTGGGGATTGAAGACAGTGTTACACACACTAGGCAAGTTCTCTACCATTGAGCTGTACCTCAACCCTTAGATTTTTGAGATCAAATCTCACTCTATATATAGCACACACTGATCTCAAACTCATAATCCTCCTTCCTCAGCTTCAAGTGCTAGAATTACAGATATGCACCACACCCCACTCTCAAATTATTCTCAGCAGTTCCCTAGTGCAAGTATGGTTGGGTTTATTTGGTTTAATGACCGACGCTTGTATTTTTTTGCTGTTACAAACATGAAAATAGGTCACCTTCTTCTAACATCATTTGTGCATTGCTAGACTGTGGGACAAAGGACATGTTTATATTTATAATTCTAAGTAATGTTTACTGGACTGCTTTCTGTAGGCCCCAGTCAGTTTACATAGTCTCTGGTAATGAATGATGACAGGCCTATTTCTTAAAGCCGTACTAAGTTTTGCATTGTTCCCAGTCTGGCCTAATAAGTAGAGGAAATTGGTATCTTAATATAGCTTAAATGTGCATTCACATTGTAAATGGAATGGTGTCTTTTTTATATGTTTAGTGACCATGAAGCTGAATGTATTTCTAGTAGTTATGGATGAACTGTAGTAATTTTTAAAAAGGAGCCGAGAGAGAAAGACACCATGCCACAGAGTTCAAGTGGAGGGGTTTTTTTATTATTAAAGGAAAAGGATGATAAAAAAAAAAAAAGGCGGGGAAGGAGTAGGGGGAACTAGTCTCTGAGGACAGGAGCAGCAGGAGAGAGAAAATAGAGGGGAGGGGGGATAGGACAGTCAGAGGGAAAGAAAAAAGAAAGAAAGAGAAAGTTAAAGAGAGAGAGAGAGAGAGACAGAGAGAGATGTGAGGTGGGCAGGGCCCTTTTAAAAGGCATAGTGAACAGGCACAGGTGGTGCTCTTAGTGGCTGCAGCTGAGGGCATATCCTGTCAGAACCCCAAGGACAGGCCAGGACAGATGCCTGAATACTAACATGAACTACTTAAACATGTCATTTGTCTATGTTTCCATCCTGTTTTTTGTTTGTTTTGTTTTTGTCTTGATTTCTAGGAGCCCCTCCAACATTAAGTGCATTGTCTCTTCTGTAAAATCAGTATAAATATTTTCCCTTTGTCTTTGATTCTTTTTGTGCTTATTTTTTATCTGATTTGTTAACACATGTGCATGCATGGACATGCTGACAGGCCACAGTTCATTCTTGGAGGTCAGAGAACAACTCTTAGGAGTGTCACTTTTCTTCTGTCATGTGAATAGCAGGTCGTGGGGCCAGCAGACAAGTGCCTTTTACCCACTGATCTTCCATGCTAAGCTGGTGTTTATTTTTGTGTGGTCAAAGTTACTGGTCTTTTCTCTCAACTTTTGGCTTTTTAAGGGAATTAGGTCCTTCTGTCCCAGGTTTATAGAGGAATTTGTCCACATTTTCTTTTAGTACTTCTAAGTTTTCATATTGATCTCTGCTGATTTTTATTGTAAAAGATATCGATAGTGTTTTATCTTAAATATTTAAAAACTAACTTTTTTTTCCTTTGAGACAGAATCTCACCGTGAAGCCCTGGTTGGCTGGAACTTGATACATAGATCAGGCTGGCCTTGAACTCATGGAGAGCTGTCTTTGCCTCCTGAGAGTTGGGAGTAAAGTCATACCTGCCAAACCTGGCAAAACATTTTTGGGGGCCTATAAGGACTCCTGAAAGGGACACCTTTCTCATCTTTCAACAGATGATTTTAACAGGGCCCACTTCACACTACTGGGAATCCCCAACAAACCCCTGCAATGCCTGGTGAGTGTCCTTTGTCCTCAGCCCTGGATGGGCCCAGGCACCTCTGGTCCAAGGTGCTACTGCCTGAGCTTATGTCCAGATACCAACCTAGGACTCCCACCCCCGCGCAATCCAGGCCTTGATTGCCTGCACCCCCTCGTCCAGTGGGTCTAATGTCCCCTCAGGCCTAGGAAGTCCCCCAGGATCTTGTATCTGCCATTATGATCCACCATTCCCTAGGACTTATCAGCGACCGGCCAGAAGCTCTGTCACAAGTACCGAGAAGGAAAGATGGTGCCCATTGCTCCAGGCATCAACCGGGTCGACTGGCCCTGCTACACGCATGCCATCGAAGACTGGTCTAAATTCGTATCCAGGTCCGGGGAGTTCAAACTGCCTTGCGCCAACAAGAAGGGTCAGTCTACCAATCACAAAAGGTGCTCTTGGGAGGGGGAGGTCTGCAGTTCGGTGGCACAGCTAAAGCAAGGAATGAGGGCCGTGGGCCCAAAGGCCAGCAATGTAGAAACAGGCACCAGGTTGCGGGTGGAGTTGGGGGTGGAGAGGAGCCGCTGAGGCTACCGGAGGTCAGGAAAGCCACTGGGGCTGGACCTGAGCCTGAGAGCCAAGCAGGGCTCGGGGTGGGGTGGGGCGGGGCTTAGATGAGGACCGGCCAGGTTTCTTGGGATCTGGGTCCCCAAGGTGGGTTCTCTCCACAGTGGGGAGTTTCAGTGGCTACGCGGTGCGGTACTTGAAGCCTGACTTGACCCAGAACTGGCGGGTAGGGAAAGATGCACGCAGACCGGGCCGGGGTGGTTGGGAGGGAGCAGCTGCTGGGGTCCGCGCCCTGTGGGCTTACAGGTCCCTATCCCTGTGGCCTGCCCCAGTACTGCCTCAACCAGAACCCCAGCCTGGACCGCTACGGACAGAAGCCCCTGCCTTTCGACTCGCTGTAAGTGACACCACTCGAGACCTCTTCGGGACCCTGATCTCCGAACAGGGAAGGGGGATCGTAGCTGAGGACAGACACTGAATTCCTACCGAACCGACGCCTGTCAGCGGGCGCCCAGCTCCTCCAAGCTTTGGGAGCCGAGTTCAGTAGGGTTCTTTTTGGTTCTTTCGCAGGAACGCGTTCCGACGCTTTGGCTCCCACTACAGGTAGAGAATATCCGCCCCCCCCCGCAACCCCCGCCGCCTTGGCCGCGGCCGGCCACGCCTGGGAAGGGGGCTTGAAGGATACTCGGCGGGCGATCAACCTGCAGCTCAGTGGGCCCGGGCTAGCGGTGCATTTCCCAACAGGATTGGCCCAGAGGAGGCCGGAAGGAGGGGGCCTGGGAGGATGGAGAAGAAAGGAACTGCCATCTGCTTCCCACTGCATCATAGCGCCCCCAGCAGGGTCACCCTTGGTTAAAGGCTCAGACACAAGGTGGAAGTGCTGAGAAACTATGAGGCATCTCTCCAGCCACGCCCTGTTCACACACATACACACACTCACACACACACACACACACACACACACACACACTCACACACTCACACACTGGCACAACCACATACACACACACACTCACACACTGGCACAAACACACACACACACACACACACACACACACACACACACACACTGGCACAACCACATGCTCGGTCTCTCCCTACAGCCCACACTCCGATTCACCTCTTGTAGCATCCAGAGTGTTGCCCTTTCTATTCCTGAAAGTTGCCTTCCCCAGCCCACACACAGAAAAACTTTGGTTTTGTTACTGTGTGATGCTAGAGTAGATTCTACATGACTGAAAACCCATGAAGCAGTTGACATTGGGGTGTTATTGGAAATAGTATGAGGTAAATTAGAGATGAAGGAAATAACCAAAAATATACAAAAGGAAATAGGGAACCATTGAAGGCTCTTGGGCATATAGCCTGGATGGAAATTGTTTTTAGACCCTGAGGGTAGAGAGGTGGGCCTTGGGGTGGGGGTGGAGCTAGGGAAGAAAAACTATTTCTTCAGGGCACCCTAGAGTACCCATCTCACCCTTCTTTTTCTATGCAGTCGCATCAACTATCTGACTCCCTGGCATTAATCTGTGGGGGTGAAAAGGTTGATCCCTCTATAGCCGGACTGTCCCACCTCAGGACCCCTAGCAGAACAGAGGGCATATGGTGGCACCACCCATCTCCCCAGGAGTCCGGTTCAAGAAATAAACCTAATGCTTCTTTGGAGAGGCACTAGTCCTGTGTGTGTGTGTGTGTGTGTGTGTGTGTGTGTGTGTGTGTGTGTGTGTGGCGGGGGAGGGTCTGGGGAAGGGTTAGGAACACAGTTGGTAGTGTATTACCCTGTGCTCTTTAAGAGGGTGTGTAGGGGCTGGTGAAGGATGTTTTGTGGCCTTGGGTGGAATATCAGGGCCTAAGCTGGGGTTGAAGCACAAGGCCAGGATGGATCTGTGTTTCCCTTGCTACACCTGAGTGTGAGCACTAAGAGAAAAGGAGGGGCTGAGAGAGGGTTCTTCGACACCTCTCTGGAATCCTTACCATACTGGTGTGCTTTGGGGTTTCCTGTTACCAAGAGCTTCCCAAAAGGGAAGTGGGCAGTTTAGGCTAGTGTCATCTATTCTCTATGAAGCAGCAGGTTTCAAATATAAACCTGGATGAGGTATGCAAGTACATTCTGGGCTCTTCGAGGCACTACTAAGAAATGTATCGCCTAAATAGAAGGCCATTTGCTCTACTCTTGAGCAGTGGGACTGACCCTCATCTGTCCCTCCACATACACCCTAGTCCTGATAGTGGACATGATGGCCTAGGTGCAGGGGATCCCCAGTGAAGAGGGTCTCAGCATGGTGCTATGTTAGGGCAGCTGGCATCCATACATGGTTCCTGGGCCTTCCATGCCTCATCTTACCAGAGAGAGGACAGACTACAGGGAGCGGTCCCAGTTGAGACAAATAACTACTAAGCTCAAGAACTTGGTATGGGATTTCTGTTCCTGGAGTTTCCCTGCACCTCAGCTACCCCCAAACCTGAAATCATGTGCAAAGTCACATGTCCACATGCTGTTCTCTTCCAAGTATAGATCCCTTGTTCTCATCTTATCCTCAGCAAAGTTGGCATCCATAGGGGTTAGGAATTCATCATTCACTCCTTTCCTTTCCCTTCCTGAATTCACTGCAAAGCTGCTGCACACAAGGCTAATGTCTTAGGAAGAAGGAATTGGAGGAAAATGGCCTCACAGGTCAGAATATGTTACTATCTGGGACTTGGTGCTCTGCTGACAACAGGGCAGGAACCTGGGGAGGATTTGCCTCCTTCTTGCATATCCAGTGGGCAGCTTTGGGAAGCCAATGGCAGAGCCACTAGGGTGTCAGAGCTCCAGGTGTTCTTTCTAAATGACAGAGAAGAAATGGACCTGCCCAAGGTTCCCGGCAGGGATGCTGAAGTCCTGCCTTGGGTGAGAATGGTCACAGGAATGCTAGTGAACTTGCTAGGAAGGAACTGAGTGACTAGGATTTTCATTTTTTTTTTCTGGGCCTGCTTCCTTGACCCAGTATGACTAAGAAAGGTCACTACATAATGTGACCCAGTTTTGAGGCCTTTACCTGGGCCAGTGTTCTAGTGAATGCTCAGGTGACACAGACAAGCAGCCACTCCTCCTTTATTAGTGTTTTGAGTTCAGTGAGAAAAACAGGTAGGCAGGCCAAGCCACTTTAAACCCCAAACCACATTCCTCTAGTCCAAGATGCCACAAGTGCCAACCCACAGCAGTAATTGAGGTTCTTGTCCACTGGCTATACATTTAATACCTACTTTATAGATACAATAGAAACTGTGCCTAAGAATAAAGAGAGTAGAAAGCATAATCAAAAACAATCGAGTATACAGTTCTTTTAATTAAGTTTTCAAGTGCTTCACAGGCCCCACGAGGTAAATTGTTTTCAATCCATTTTATAGCTGGTTAAGTAAATGGACTTGGGGCTGAAGAGATGGCTCAGAGTTTGAGTGCTGGCTGCTGTTCTAGAGAACCCAGGTTCAGTTCTCAGCACCCACATGGAGGCTCAAAATCATAGCTCTAATTCCTGGGGATATAACCCCCTCTTCAGACTTCCAGGAGCACCAGGCACACAAGAGGTGCACACACATGCACACAGGCCAAACACTCATTCACATGAATCCAAATAAATGGGCTTGAGGAAGCTGTGATTGGTCCAAGATTGCATAGCCAGTGACTGGCAAGGCTGGGGATCTGAAGGCAGTGAGACTGTGACCATTGCATTCTGCTTCTTTCCTGCTCTGAGGAACAAGTGAAGAGTGGGGAAGAAAGCAGAGGGTCTTCCTGGGACTGGGGACCAAAGACTGGGACTTAAAAGAGATGTCCCATTCGAAAACTAAGAAGCCAAGATTGATGCAGACACATATAGTCCCAGATGATCTGGAGGCTGAGGCATGACAAACAGCCCAGGGCTTTGAGACTAGCCTGGGAAATAGACATAGTAGTGGCCACTACCTCAAGGCCTTGACTACCTCTGTACCTTCAGGGTTCATGGCTCTTTATAAACAAATTCCATCAGAAATCTTTACTGCAGCCAGCATGACCTCATCTCTAGGCCTTCTGGACCTGAACACGAGTCAGTTCCCTGGCCTTTATCACGCTTCCTTACTGCTCTGTCCTACCCTTAGGGTCTTGTCTCCCAAACTTTGTTCAAAAGCCAGCCTACATCAAAAATGCTTTCCCTACCCCTCTTTACCCAACCTCAAAAAAAGCCTCACATGCTCCCTTCTCCCATTCTTCACAAAGATCACAGGCACAGGAACCTTGGCTCTTTCGGGGTGGGGGGGGGGGATTTACATCTCTGACCAGTAGGCTTAATTGCCAGTTCCTTTTACCCCCATTATGAGGTTCAGGAATGGGGTCTGGGGCCTCCAGAACCAATGCAAGCAAATGTGGAATGAATGAAATTTCTACTATAAAGTAACAGTAGTGTTTATTACAGAGCAACATGGGGAGCATGCACCATGGCCTAGGATCTAGGGCTGGCAGCAGGGCAGGCTCAGAAATAAGGCTCAAGCTGAGATGGGGTGTGGTGAAGATTACAGTCCCAGATGCCAGTAGCCATTTTCACTTGGAATGTTTGCCTGAGGGTGCACATACATGTGGAGACTAGAGGTCAACATCGGTGTCTTTAATCACTCCCCACCTCAGCTTTTGAGACAGGATCTCTCACTGAAACCAGTATTCACCAAATGGCTACATGGATTGGTAGGCACTCCAGGAATGTCCGTATGTCCTATCATTCCCCCACCTGTGTTCCCAGCCTAGGGTCACAACCATGTATGTAGGTGTTGGGTATTCATGCTCAGATCCTCGTGCTTGAGCAGCAGGTACTACACTAACTGGGCCTTCTCTCTCAGTCCCTACTCTATTTCTTGATTCATGAAAGCCTTTAAACTCGCTCATCTCAAGTTCTTGCTTTGTGCCTGGCAAACAGCAGGTGCTCAATTATGATCATGGAGGAAACAGACAGGAATGCAGAGTCAAGGTTGGGTGGGGAGGAAGACCCCACAACCCTGCCTCCCACCAGACTGTTTACAAGTTACTACAGAAACCTCTGGGGATTAGACTGACAATGCTCTTCCTGGAGGCGTGACCTCTCAGGAGCAAACTGCTTGCTTAAGGATGGAATGCAGACCTCTCACCACCAGTCTGGCTGGGAGGCCCTGGGTGGATTGCCACATAGTGAGTAGTCCAAGGCTGGATGGAGGTCACTCTGGAGGGAGAGCAGGCCTGCATGGGAAGGTGGACAACCGTAGTTAGGATCTGTCCAGGAGTTGACCACCAGCTGGGGCAGGGGGAGAACTTTGTTGCCTTGGTTCCCTGACCAGAGGAAGTGTCAGGGATGTCCTGGCCACACTGCCTGTTTTCCACCTGTATGCAGGTGGAACTCCAGGCCACTTACCACTGTTTGGCTTAAACAATCCCTGGGCCTCCAAATGGTCTGGACAAAGGAATGTTCAGGCCTATCCTGCCCACCAAGCAGTTTCACTCAGGCCACACTAGAAAATAAGCTGGGCCGTGAGCCTGGCACAGACACAAAGGCCCCTTGCTGTTAGCTGCTGACTAGCAGAAGCCTGTAGAAAGGAACCTCCTGGCTTCTCAGGGCCACACGGGGGATGGGAGAAGCATGGGGTCTGGGTCTTAGGAACACTTGTAGTATGGATAGCTCCCTGTTCTTTGACTTTTCTTTTTACCTAGGACAGGGTGCCCTTAGCTGTCAGATGCCAGGTTAAGGGCTATGTCTCCCTCTCTCCAGCCCCACTCTGGCCTTTGAGAGATGGAAAGCATGTGAGTTGCAGACTGCTGTGGGCAAGAATGCAGTACAGGAGAAATGTGTGGAAGGACTAAAGTAAAGGCACTGTAGGGCAGACCAAATGTTAAGAGTGGGCTAGTGGGGCTGGTTGGGTCCATTGTTCAGGGAGCACCTGAACACACTTTCTGGCCTTTTATGACTGCTGGTCTTTGTGGTCCAGCTCCCTCCTCAAGGGTATGGTTAAACCTTCAAGGCAGGTGGGGTGGTAGCTGTCCGTTTGTCCATAGCTTCACCTCAGAGTCTCAACAATGACTCCATCCAATTCTCATAACAGCGAGGCAAGTCAGCCTCCCAATGTGTTTTTTGGTTTTTGACAGATGAGGCAACTGTGTCCCAGAGAAGTGACCAGTCCAAGGTCACATAGCCAGAAGCCCCAAAGCTCAGGATTCAAGTCTATCCCCAATCCGACACTTTGGTCTGTGTAACTCTCAGCCTCTGCCCCTCCCATCATTCCCTCTGGAAAGAACAAGTGGAAGAGCTGTGGGCTGCACCAGTCAATGGCTTTACTTCTAGAACACACATCAAACTCACTGTATAGTAACATCAACAGTGGCTGCCTAAAATGGAGTCATTCTTTGAAAAATTCCAAACTCATATTTATATATGATCCAAAATGACATGAAATTAAGCTATACAATGTTATGAATAGTATAACAAACTGCTTTTAGAATGCAATATGAAAGGAAAAAATTTGCAGGTAGGACTGGACAATTGTAAGCCTGAGTTCCAGTCTTTTGAGGCTTTGTGACCAAGAGTCAGCCCTAGAGGAGTGCTAACCTGTCTCTGTGGCCACAGGAGAGAACCTGGGCAGACAGAGCAGGTGCATGTGGCCAGCTGGACTTAAGAGACGACAGGTGAGGTGGTGTCCTCCTACCCATCTGGCCCTTCCCTTGGGTGC